CCCCCCCAAATTAACCACAATCCATTATTTCATGTACTATATGATCATGTCATTTGGGAGCAATAAGTGACCACATTTCCTCAACTTTATCACCGCTATTCTTGATTCTGTGTTGTTAAATTCACTCCATTCCTAATTTCTATTTTGAGCACATATGCTGGCCTTTAATTTGCAATTTACATGGATGATAGGGTGCTATTCAGAAACCTGTTTCTGCTGCCTTTGTGGTTTTCACCTCACCTCATGTGGTCATTAGGATGAACAGCATATAATTAACTAAATTCATGTAAAGCCCTGAATTGCAAATGCTTGTCTGTACATCTAGTTTCTTAAAAAAATAGAGGAAATCTAAACCTAACCAAAACAAAACTTCCAGTGGTTTAAACAAGCTGTAAGAATCAGTTTCTATTTTCTTGGTAGGTGATACTGTGGGCTGTATTCATCCAACCTATTTATTTATTTATTTTATCAGTGATTACACTTGTGTGTCACTCATTGTAGGTTAAAAATTGTAAGATCTATTTGTGGGCAAGCAGCCAACAGTGAAGCCTATTTAGCTTGTCTACTTAGCGAAGCCATATGGATGCAAAATTACTTTCCTGTTGCCTGTAAAATATTTGCCAAAAAGTAAGATTTTTTTCTTTTCTTTTTACAGTAACATTTCTACAAATTATATTTGTCATTGAGTGCTGCAGTTTATGAGCTTGTTGCATTGTACCCACAATGAAACTTTACATTGGAAATAGGAGCTAGCTGTGAAGGTTATAAGTGAAGCTTCAAGCTGAGGCCTTTCTTGATGGTGAAATACTATCTCGAGAGGTTGATTAACTTTGTTAAACAACAGAAGAAAATCTAAAAGACTGTCCAGTAAATCAGGAATTATTCTGATACTTTCTATTTCCTGCAGACTTAACTTTATGTTCTCTTACTTTTTGCCTGATACTTCAATTTGTCAGACACTTTTGAATACCAGGGATGATTTTCTTAATCATTCAGAATAATTCAGTAAGACAGCTCTTGGAAATTGGCTTAGATTGGCACATGTACTACAGCAAGGGAGAGGAAAAAACCTACAGACCCTGAAGAAGGAGAAGAAGGATAACTTGTGGTCTCAGAGCTCTGTAACGTCCCTGAGGTCTATGCTGTTCCTGTGATTGCTTTGCTAACTGGAGAATGTTTGGACTCTCCTACCTGTGGTTTAGCCTTCTGGCCGAAGTTTTCTGAGCCTATTCATTATAATAGTGGCTTTTGCACAAACAGATTCAGTCTTGTACTCTACATGCTGGAACACTCAGCCTTCTTGTTCCCATGATTATGTAAAGGAGCAGATAAGTGGAGTTGCGGGGAGTGGGGGCTGCTGAGGTGGAGTTGCATCATTGAATTACATACCAGCTACATGGCTGCCTGTTACCGAGAAAGACATTCACTGTGGTAGAATTACAGTTTCTGTTCAGTGTAGCTGCAATCTGCTAGGCTGTGGTGCTCAGTATCATAGGGGGGTTAGTTTATATTAAAAAAGGGTACAGCATAGAAAAAAATGCTGTACTGTTAGAAGTCCTCTGAAATTTAATGATAAAACCTAATATTTGGGTCTTTGCAGTGCTTTCATTTTTTACTACGTTTCTAAGCAAAACCATTTTTCATTTTAATATTGTATTTTATGCTTGTGAGTTTCTTCCTTATCCTGTTAACCTGTGTGTGGGTCTTACTAAATAATCCCTGTCAAGCAGGACTGTGTTGGAATAAATTAGGCAGAGTTCTGTTGAATTTGATGGCTTTGTTGATAGGTCATTCAAACTTATTTATAAACTTCAAATGTTTTTGTTTGTTTATTTTAAACAAAACTGTTTTTTGTTTGACAGGTATCCTATAAGAAGGATGTGCAAGATACTCATAAATACACTGAAGTGCTGAACAGGCCAGACATAAAGATAGCAACTGAGATAACAAAGATAATAAGTGATGTATGTTCTCCTGTTACGTATTTTTCAGACACGTTATTTTATTTATTCCAATTTCAGTCAGATTGTTTAGAATGCTGCTGAAATTCTCAAATGTCACGAGCAGAAAACCTGCAACCCCAAATATGATATGGAGGTTTGATTAAAAAAACCCCCAAACTCCCCAAAAAACCCCCTTGCCTGGTATGTTACAAAGTTACGGGTTTCTTCTATTTTGATGTTGACAGTATGACCTTTGCAATTATTGGTCATTGATCTAAAGAGAACGTTAAGCTTACTAAAGTTGGTTTTGTTTCAGCTTTATTCGTGATAACCATTCTCAAAATAAGTCATATGCTTGCATGCTATACTGCTCTTCAGAAGGCATACCAAGCAGTTTTTCACCTCAGTACAAGAGAAGCTTGCATTGCAGGACTCCCTTTCCTCCTCCCATCTCGGCTGGCAGTGACAGGGAAATGCAATTCCCTGCTCCTTCTGAGAGCTGAGCAAACACGCTGCTTCTTGCATGAGGGCTTTCCTCCCTGAACTCCCCTCTCAAATTCTTTGCCTTCCCACCATGACATCTGCTAATGGATAGGTCAAGGAGCAGTTTGAGAAGCTGCAATGTGTGATGCAGTTTAATATTTTATTGTAGACAAGTCAAACAATATATAAAAAGCCCCGAGCCAAGATTTTAAGTAACTGCTAACAATTTAATGTGAGACTGACTAGGCACCTATGGAGAGACAGTTCTAAGAGACCTGAGATTCACCTTTTGAATATTCAGGATTTTCTGAAGACCAAGAACTTCTACGAAGTCTTATGTTCAACACCCAAATTTACTAACTGTTGTTCAAGCCCCCTTTGAGTTAGAGTGGCTTTGTGACTTTTATTTCTCTCAGTCTGTTGTTATGACGTGTCCTTGCTGATTCACAGTGCCTGAGTAATGCAAGAAGCCTATTTTAGGCAATGGGTAATTTAGTTTGTGATATCGTAAAGCACCTATTGTCGATTCATCTGTGCTGTTTTCTAATGCACTGTGGAAAAAAATTGCAGCAATTCGCATGGGAGGCAGTTCAGCTGGAAAGATCACGTAACATCAGCCTTGTGGGACTAATTCTGCTCTGTTACACCAGTGCAACCTCACTGACATCCAGCAAGATTGCAGTGGTAAAATTAAGAGTGGAAAGTGACCTTACACTTCGAAAAAGCTGCTCCTCAGTCTAGTTTTGTTTCAAGACTGTTTTCAGCTGCTACAAATAATCTTGTGTAAACTGCAGACCCTGTCATAAGAAGTGCTGAGCCACTGTAACTCATTCTGCCTTGACTGGGAGAACAATATTTCTCAGGCTTAAGCTATGCGTTTTGTTAAAGTTAAATTTTGTGAATGCTGTGCATTGCGTTTTACAATAAATAAATATTATGTGGTTAAGGAGCTGAAGCCTGAGAAGGCCTTTTTTTCAGAGCTGTTTAGAACAGTAGTATCAATGCAGATCACTAAATGAGACTTTTTCTACCAGCTTTAATGCTTACATTTCTCTTGATAAAAGCAAACAATTTAATAGTGGTTCATATTAATTTTTTCTAAGGCTGAATACAAGAAAGGAAGGGGAGAGATGAATAAGGAGCCTGCTGTACTTGGAAGACCAGATTTTGAACATGCTAAAGGAGTTTCAAAACTGTTAAGCCAAGTAAGATTCTCTGTCATTTTACAATGACTTCATTCAGATATCTCATTCCTAGTAACGCAAGAAAATATTTAGATTTTTAGATGATTATCTGTAATTGCATGAAGATTATGTTCTCAAACTTTTCATATAGTATTGCAATAACTGGTAAATTTAAGGTTCTTAGGAAACAGAATATACATTTTTATGCAAAAACACAATGAACTTTGACTGTTACAGCTTGTCTCTTGTGGAGATGGTGTATGTTTATACAGATTATCTAGGATTTCTAAAATATTAACTGTATGTAATTTAGAAGCAAATTTTGCTACTCATTCAGTTTGAGTGGAACCTTACCCTGTGATTAATCCCAATGAAGTAACTGGGGTCTTTTGTATAACTGCTTGCTAATGTGAGTAATGGGATCTGAATTTGGCCTGACATGTAAACTACCCACCTTCCCTCCCCCTGAAACTGAACCTTTTATGTACTGCTTTCTGTCATCTATTAACCTAAAAAAAGAAAAAAAAAAAAAAAAAAGAAGAAAAATGGAGGGATTACTTTAGTCCATAACTAAAAAGAAAACTGAAAACACAAATATTCCCTCTTTTCCTCTTATGAGTCTTCTACTCATAGGATCTACACATAAGACTCTACTACAGATCAGCCTGACATCGTGAGAAAGGATTTTTGACTGCTGACTTGCTGGTTTTTTTTCTTTTTTTTTTTTCTTTTCTCTTTTTTCTGGAGTAGTTCTTTAACAGTGCCTTGCATAATCCTCACTAGTAATCCTGTCAGGCTACACTTAGAGCTTTTGTAAACCCAGGAACAAATTCTGCCCTCCTGTAAGAGGAGGATAACGTACTTTGATTGGAGAAGGCTGTGTCAGCCTTCCCAGAACCAGAAAAAAACCCCCAAGTGTAATAGTGTATACACTAGAACAGTCTCAAAATCAGTGTTGTGTAACAAATACTTGTGATTTGGCTAGATAGTAAGCATCTTCCCTAGAACTAGCATAAAATGAGAATTATGTGTCATAGAGAACAAGCTGCAAAACAGTGCAGTGTCTGTTTGCAAGAGGTTGAGCTCCTTTTGCTGTCACCAAATGTTGTCCTTAGATATCTGCTGCGTGATTTCCTGTTTCACACTGGACCATCATTAACTTTGAAACATTAATACTGTACAAAGGAAAAAGAAGAAAATACATGTTTTTTTATTGCTTTGTTAATGATGTGTTCAGAATCAAAATTACTTTGTGTTTTCCAAATAGATTTTCTTCTGTTTTGTAATGGATCATGTGCTCATTCCTCTGGTGATGGGCAAGTCTGCTAAGAGATTCTTTTGTGTTTAGCATCATGCAGGCTTGGAAGTCAACCTGTGCTTCATGGGAAGAGCCAGTGCGATGCTGCTTAGACCTGGGTGTCACTTATAGGAAAGGGAGCTGTCTGCCATTTAGCAAACACCTTTAGTGGTTTTTAAAAGGGTTCATATCTAAATTTAGCGTGTGGTATCCTTTATTTCTACTCAGTGGCTGTCTACACACTCCTTTCCTTGCAGCCCATTTCAGAATCTAGGCTTGCAGCTGCCTGTTGTCACAAATGGGACCAAAGCGGATCCCTTTCCAATAGCCCTCTCCATCTCACTAAGACTGATACCCTTGAGGTTGTGGCCAACAAGCACAACAATCAAAAAATACCAGCTGGATCATGGGGTCCTGCAGGCTGGTGCTGAGCCAGCTGCATCATAGGCTTCATCAATGCACTTTTTATCTCGTTTTTGTTAGATGTGCTTTTCCTCTGGGACAATGCATGCTGCATCTGCAAAAGCTTTATAATAGAGTCTCTTCACCGCCAGGGACTGGGATGGCAGCAGTTCTAGTTGAGATTGTTCTGCAGAAGAGAGCATTTGGTGTGCAATTTTAACCTCTTTAGAGAGTCCAAATAGTGCAGAAGGTGTGGCAGGAGGAGAGGAGCAGTTGACAAAATGTAGCTTGCTTACAGTTTATTTGTAAAGAAGATTCTTACTAAACCTTGGTGGTCCAAACTCTGCAGCCCCTGGGCCTGGATCCAAATTCTGGGATCCTTCCTTCTCTTGTCCTCTCCTCAGTCTACACTGTTGTGGCTGCTTGCAGCCACGTACTTTTAGAAAGGGAGGCAGCACTTCAGCCTAACACTCTGCTACCAGCCATCTGCATGCAGCAGCATGGAGGCTGTAAATACCAGGCTGCTTTCAGCAGAGGAGAGGTGCCCTCAGCAGTTCTCCACCTCCTCTGAAGGGAAGGCAGTGGCCATGAGTTGTCTAATGTTTTTATATATTATTTGAATCATTATAACACTTAGACACACTGATCATAAATCAAGAGCACAGAAGAATGAAGATGACCCCTGTGTCCAAAGAGCAGGGTGGTGGGGCAGGATGAGGAATGCACCTGTGCTGTAGGAGAGGAAGAGCCCTAAATATGGGTCGGTTGTGTCAGTCCTCTTCATGCAAGGATCATGAAGCAGGCTTGTCACAATTACAAGATTTAAAAAATGGCGAAGTTAACGATCTCTTTATTGTCTCCAGACTTTCTGGCTTTTAGGGTTTCCATTTGTTTCTCAGCAAATGGGAGCATTATAAACTTTTTGTGCTGAAAGTTGATAATCTCCCTTAATAGCATGAATCTATAAGCTGCGACATACAGAGAAATATTAGTTATTTGACCCTCACAGTAAATTTGCAAAGTTGACAATTCTGATGGATGTAATGGGAAGAGAAGATGATAACATGTTTTAATGTGGTGCATATGGGTAGGTAATTTAGGGAGTATAGAGAACAGGAGCAAGAAGAGGTCAGGCAGTGTGGGTGTAACGAAGGGAGAAAGCAATCCAGGCAAGCAGGAAGGCAAAGTGAAGAAAATAGTGTTAATGTTTGACTGGCACTCAAGGCTCTACAAAATCAGTGAGCCCCCCCTTTTTTTTAATAAATTTTTAATTTAATAAAGCTTTTGACAACAGCAGCAGCAAAAATAATAGCTCCCAGGACTAGTTTATTTACCCACAGCACGCAGTAACCCCTTTCTGTTGATTTTAAACCAAATTTAAAACAGAAATTGTGTTAGCCCTTGTAAAAACATGAAGTTTGTTAATTTGCTGAATGTACACTGTATAATTTGTGTTATTTTTTTCATATTTTTTATAAAAACAAGCTCTTGCTTATGTCTTCTTTATGTCTCCTAATGCATTTTATTAGCTTTTTCGAAGAGCTACTGATATGAAGTATTTCCCTTATGGTGTTCAATAATTGGTTTTATGATGAATAATTTTGGATATTTGTGTTTTATGCTGGATCTGGTGCTTATTGTTTCAGGGATAAAATTGTTAGAGGTAGAATATTTTTTAAAATCTAAAAAGAGCACAAGATTATCAGCAACAACACAAAGAGCCTAAGATTTTCTCAGTCTTTCTTTGCTTTAAATTCTGCTAGTACTTTTAGCAATGAATATTTTAATTTAGATCTTTGTTTACGTTACATTTCCTTCAATATCTATGTGTTCTGACAGGTTTTTCTTTTTTTTAAATATGTTTTCATATGGTCATGAGGAAATGCTTTAGCTGCAAGCGTCTGCTTCATCCTGGGATCCCAGTGGTTGAATGATTCAATTTTTGTAGTTTCTTTGTAAATCTGAACAGTGGGTGATGTCATCCACTTCTGAAACTGAACACTCCCTGTGTGAACAGCTTTGAACTACAGATTTGATTTAGGAATGTTGCTGCAAAGCTTCAAAAGACACTGCTCTGTCCAGCTGCAATTCTGACTTTTATAGGTTTTGTGCAAGGCCGATGAGAGGTTTGTTTATCCAGGCCTTATTTAATTCCAGTTTGGTTTTTCAGGGATGTTGTTGTGTTAAAAGTCTGCGAAGTCTGCTCTTTCTTCAGCAACAATTAGAGAACAGCTTCCACTGGCTTTCTTTTAAACTAACCCCCACTCTAAAAAAATAAACAAACTTCACACTTAATTAAGATGGTAAATAAGTAGCCATCTTTTAAACCCTCATTAAAGTAAAACTTTTGGTTAATGATGAAATTTGTAAATAAGCTTCCACTAACAACTGTCATTTCTACTCCCACTTTTTGTTTGCTCTTCCACCTTATTATAGCATTGCCAAGACCTCCCCCCTTCAGATGCGTTAGAAATCATTGATGAAGTATTTGTCTTCCTTGTTTTTAATCAGAACCCTTTCTCTCGGGCATATTTTTCCCCTTTAAACTGCATTCATAACCTTCTCCTGTTCAAAAGAAGGGTAAATACTGTGTGCGTTACTTCACAGTGACTCATCCATGGGCTTGCTCCTCTCTCTTCTCCCTCTCCCACCCCATGCTTTCTTTCAAAAGGGAGAAATAAACAGGAAAAACTGATAAAAGAGAAAGTGAATGTGTGTGTAGCTTTCAATGAGAGGAATCCCCTATGACAAATCAGAGTTAAATTACTTCTGGAAGTGCTCTTGAGATACTGCCTGGGTCATCTGATATTATTGTGCGGCCTCCATTTTGCCCAAAAGCAACATGTACGGTGGTGTTGGGGAGGAGAGCAAAGGCAATAGGCAGAGCAGCCAGATGAGGCAGCAGGGCCTAGAGGTACCGAGACATCCCTCACTGCAACAGGAACGATTACAGTCAGATTGGTGGGCGGTCTCCTTAAATTTGGGACCTTCCTGCTCATCGGTATCAGGATGCACAGCCCTGTGAAGACTGGGTTCACTGGCTCCCCCTCTTTCCTTCAGCAGCAGTGATGTGATGTAAAGTGACACTAACCGAGGGTTTATTACTGGAATCTCTAGATTGAAATGTGTTGCTAAAAAAATCTTCTAAAAATGGCATAAAATGGCTGCAGCTTGAAGATGGCAAGCCAGTTGTGAGGAGAGGTCCCTTTGGCACTGGTGCTTTCACATTTAACAAGAATATCAAGGACCACGTTGTACATTTGGTCTGCGTGCACAGTTTGTGGCCATTTGTTGGCTGGGCAGAAGACAGCCTGCAGTAGTTGGATATTTAAACTCTTGTGCACGATGTTGTTATGTTGTGAGGTGATGTCCAAGGAGTAAAAGACAACTTTGTTCACCATGCTGACTTGATCTCTGGTTTTGGAGGCTTTTTGAATCACATAGTCCAGCACTGCCTGATTTTTATTAGAAGGCAAGTTTTGGATACACCTTTTAAAAGACAAATTCCCTCTGATTTATTCCTTTGCTGCTCGTACAGAATGTGGATATGCCTTTGACAAAGGCAGTGTCTTTGTATTCAGATATATATGCTTTTGCACTTGATCCAAAGCCAAGGCAAATATCAAACAATATGAACCAGATGAATCTACCAGAAGGCAATAGATATTCTTTTCTAGAGTTAGTGTGAAAGATTGTGAAGTTCATCATGTGCTCAGATAAAGTTTCTCTTTAAAAGTAACAATGTTTTAGAATGTCCTTCCTTTGAAAAATTAATGTAAGTGCTGCAATCATAATGTAGTTCTTGAACATATACAGTTAGTTTCTGTTTGGGTGGCTTAGTTTTGGTTTCTTGTTATCCTGATTAATGAAATATTGGGCTTCGTGGCTAAGCATAATGAGGTTGTGTAAGCTAAACCATGTTGAGAGTCTTTTGAGGCAAGGAAGAACTAAAAAGGAAAAAGAAAATCCTTCCCACAACTAAAGCTGAGAGAAAAATAATTTTTGAAGGACATCATTTGAGGTGGTTTAACCACTTTATCAGACATTCATGTGGGAATAGAGAAAAAAGGAGTACGGAAAAAGCCGCCTCTATTTAATGCAGAGCGTGGTAAATTATAATGGATGTTGCATAGGCTCAGATATCAGGTGTCTGACTAACATTTATGAAAGCAGCATAATTCAGACTGAGCTTTATTCTCCTCCATTATGGCCAGCTGTTGGAAAGAAGCAAGGCATGTGTGCAAAGTCTCCAGATGTTTGATGATCGCGCACAACAAGGGGGGCAAAGGAGGGAGATTTACTATTCATTTGATTTCATATTTTCAGATTCTGAATTCAGTTCTTCAGCATGTTTTATGGAATTTTTGTGATTTATTTACTTTTAATGCCATTGCCTCAACATTTATGTATTGCTCGCTTCCTCTTATATGAGTTGTCGTTGCTCCTTTTTCTATTGAACAAGAAGAAAAGAGAGTGAAAGTGATGGCAGGCAGTTGTTTATTTATGCTTTCTAACACTGTAATGAGGTGGGAATTGTCCTCAAGAAGGGACTGTACTACAGAGAGATTCCTCGGGGTCTCGTGGGAAATTTCTGGCAGAATTAAAAATAGACTTGGGGGCTCTGGTGACAGCCTAGCACAGCGTGAGTGACACGTGGACCTGGTGGTGGGAAGATGGCCAAGTGGGAAGTTTGATTCTCACTTCCCACTTTCACGTGGTTGAAAAATTTACAAGTGATGTATTTTACAAGTTTTACAATTTATTCATCTTACAAATTGTTTTTTCGTTAAAATACATTGATGATCTTAATTATGAATTGAATGTTTCTCAGCGAGTAGATTATTATTGCTAGTCAAACAGTTCTGGTTTATTTGATTACTCAGGTGAGTTATATGGTTTTGTTTCTGTTTCCTTTTTGTAAATCCTTCAGCACCAATAATTGCATATGACAATCTTAAAATTATTTTTAGTAAAATTCACTAATTTTTTAGTAAAATTTACTAATTTTAGTAAAATTCAGATACATAAAAATGACTTTGAAACCAGCCCAAGACAGTCAGAGATGTGGCTAAACTGAGCTGCTTTAAACATCTTCATTGTTAAAAGATTTATGGATAATGCAATTGCCTTTAATAAGCTCCTTTGTAGTCTGAATTCTCTGTACCTTCTTTAAGTGCTACATGTTAATATTAGATGTGTTTGTTCTGGTGGAAGGTGAAATACAAAGAGCAGTTCAGTAAGGAAATGAAGAGCCACCAGTACAATCCTCTTGACAGTGCTTCCTTCAAGCAAGCACAGATTGCATCCACCTTGGCAAGTGATGTAAGTGAATTTGCTTTGTATTTTACATGCATTTACATCCTGAAAAACTTAACATTTGTTCTCAAGCAGAATTTCTTCTTCCATCTTATGATTACTCTGAGCAGCAGTCTCTGCTATACAGTGCATCTGTATAGCAGGTACAGCATGTTATCCATTTCTTCTCTGCTTCTGACAAAGCTCTCCTCCAAGGGCCTGCAGAGTTTTTCATAACCATTTTAGGTGAGATTCATCTCGCTTAACTTTGTGTGTCAAAAGTCGTGACTGCTTACTCTGAGCTAATTGCGTTGTACTCGGTCCCTTTGTATTTGGGAAAGAAATAAGCAGGTCTAGAGGGCAAGTCTTTTGACCTGTTGCAGACGTGTGTCTTTAGAGGAGCAAAGTGCTGGCATCTCTCCAGTGGTTGTAGAAGGAGGTTGCATGAGCAGCTCAGATTTGGATGTCTATCTTTTAGACTTCATTCTGCCGGTTGATCTTCTGACTGGTATTACAATGTAAAGCAGTTGCTAGATTCAGCAACGGGTGCCTGCTGCTGGAGCCAGGTTTGAGAAAACATCTATATCAAGTGATAATGCTGTTGGGATGATCTACTTAACAGTGTGTCTAATGCTAAAAATGTGAGCTCTTCTTTGAGGCTGTGATCCCAGATAGCCAAGAGACAAGCCTTCATTCTGTAGTCCTGTGTTTCCAAAGTGTGGGGCACAACCCAACAGGAGCAGGAGAGGCTGGCTCTGGGAAGGGTCCAACAGAATACGTAATTGTTTCCAAAATCTAAATGTTTAGTAAAAAATTAATTGGAGTAATTATTATTATGAGAGATATGCAAATTGGGTATTGTTGATTTGAAGTTTGCCTAAATCAGTGAAGAACACGATACATGTGTGGAGGTGACTAAAGGTATTGGTTTAAAAGATTTATCATCCAAGAGAGGTAAGGTGGCTAGTTTTCTTCCTGTAAAGATGGGCATCCAGCTATCAGAAGTATGGAAAATCCTACTATAGGCTGATAGGAATTTATCTTCTGCTACTTCAATAAGTGATTATCTTTTGCCTTAGATGACTATATTGCTTATCTTTGCTGAAAGCAATCTGTATTAAATAATATGTCCAGGAGGACTTCCCTTTAACTGTTTTATATACAACTTTTTTATCTGGACAGTTAGTGTAATTCCTGAATCAAGAGAAAAAGAACAAGAATCGACAGTGTTTAAAATAAGTAAACTCAAAGTATTGAGGAAGATACTCTTGATTTAAGTTTTTGGGAGGGGATGGGGGGGAGAATAAAAAAGAAAAAAGAAATAATAAATAAAGTGTGATTTTGTTGTAAGTGTCCTTTTTGAGGAAAAGTTTGAGTAGTTCCCAAATACTTGTGCAGTAGAATTAATGCTTTATTGATTTTTTTCTTTTCCTCCAAATAATAGTAAATGACCACCATCTAGTGGCTGGTAGAGAGTGTTCAGGCAAGCACTTAGTGCTTTCTGTTTCTGGATGGCCACACTGTAATATGAAGCTGCAAATTATTTGTTAATCTTTGTTTTACATAACCTGAATTCTCTTTCCAGGTGAACTACAAGAAAGATTTGGAAAGCCTACATGATCCAGCCTCTGATCTACCAAACCTGCTATATTTAAACCATACTTTAAATATCAGCAAAATTCATAGTGATGTAAGTTACCTTTATAAGAATGATCTGAAAAATATATGTAGTAAGGAACGTAGTATGTATAGTCACTGTAGAATACATAAATTTTTGGTACTTGCTTTATGGTCTCATGTGTAGTAGACTGTAGGGTTGTAACCATAGCAGTTGGGGGATGTAGTGAAGAAAAAGGGGCTTTTAGCGAGAGATGTTTCAGTTATTAGAACAATTAATATACTAGGTAAGAATCACACAGACTTCTGGTACTTGAGCATTTCTTCTTATATGTCTGAAACCTTGTCTGTTTTTTCCTTTGTTGATCTAAGATACTTCTTTCCTTGCAAATCTTGTTTTGCCTAAGGTCTGACTGTTTTCATCCTCAAGTCTCTGTACAGAAGTGACCGTTACGCTACTTTAATATTTGGACTTCTGCCATAAACAGCCTCTTGAGTGCTAGCTTCCCTTAGAGCTTCTCTGTCTAAACCTTCTTTCCCTCCTAAATGTCTCAGGATTCCTACACTGGATCAGGCGATAGGCACATACTCCCTTCTGCCACATAACAAGACATGCCCCTTGATGGGGCTGGTGGTCTGACATAGGATAGTGATGGGGATTGAAATGGGGAGGAAGAGGTAGGAAACCCCCCCCGGCTTCTCTGCTGAAGCTTCTCTCCTGCTCCAAGAGCACCTATGCTATGTGTGCGATGCTTGTAGGCTGGTTAGCTGCATTTGTCATCTTTACTCCAGAAACCATGGAAGGACCACAGAACTGCTGTGGAAAGGTGTGAGCCAGTGGTGTTGTAAAGGAAGATTGCTCACGGTTGGCAGGCCGTGAGTGCTTCACAAAGAGTTAGCCCTAATGACTAGGAGCATACTGGGTCATATTCTGAGTCAGTGCCTGCTTATGGAAGCTTATGTCTAAAATAATCCAGCCTTCTCATCTGTATTTGATTTTTATGTTGCTCTTAGGTGAATTGAAGCTTGCTTTTTATCTGTCTCACTCTGATATGTGAAGCTAACACTGACTATCCCCTATTGTATGGGTAATAAATGAGTTGATAGCTTTCACTTCCTGCATTCTTCATGTGCATTTGGGCCTAATTCTAGTTTCCTTTAGTGTAAGGTAAGATTGGGATTCTTTTTGCTGTTTAAATGAATACCCTCAGAATGAACTTCATCAGTTTGTCTTCTTATCTCTAATGAGATAGAAACCTGGACTTTTGCTTAAGGCAGCTCGCTTCTTGCAAAATTTATTTCTTTCTGTTGCCCAGGAAGGGTTGATTCATATTGTCTATACCCTCTTGTGAGGAATCCGTAAATACTAAGTCTCTGATTTTTGCATTGTCCAGATGCTGGTGGATATTTTTCCTTGCTGTGAGCAGGAAGAAGAATGCTTTGCCAATCCCTAAGGTCTCCACTAGCTATTTGTCTTCTACAGAAATCCCATTTTCAAAATCCTTCTCAGATTTGACCTCCCCATGTCATCTCTTTGATTTTAACATGGCTTACTCTCCTGCCTTTCTCCATGCTTTTCCAATACCTTCTTTGTATTCTCCTCCTTGTCTCTCTACAGCTCATACCAAATCTTTCTTGAAGTCTGCTTCCACTGTATGAAACTGTCTTCCTGACTGTGCTGTTAACTGATTTCCAAAGACTGATGATATTGTCTGGTTTTTTTTTTTCCCTCTGAAACAGAGAACTTCTTGCTAATTCCCCAGTTTTGCTGTTTTCCTGTTGTATACCTTTCTCCTTGAACTTTATGCTTCTCTTCATCTTTTGCATAACATAGCTACACCTGCCGCGGTGTGTTACATTGGAACCTGTATGGTTAATTAAACTCAGAAACTAATGTGGTTGATTGACCTATAATGTAGAAGTGTATGCAACTTTATGAAACACATGTACTATAATACCAATGCAAAGCTGTTATACAAATCAGCTTCCAGGGGAATAAATTCCAACAGTTAGGAGGAAAGCTTGATGGGCATGTTTGGACACAAATAGACTGATTTTGACAGGTTGAACTCATCCTATTTTCATTATTTTGATGAGGAGGAGAGTTTACAAGGTGGAACTTGCCCCTCTTGGTATACATTTAATTCTCTTTGGCAGGAACGATGGAGACATAAAATTTAAAACTTTGATATATGTACATCAGCTAGTTTATTGTTTTGCACATTTTAAATCTGTTCCTATTGCAAAGACTTTGAGATGCTAACGAACTACAGGCTAAATAAAAAAGGAACTTAGATGTGTTTCATTGTAAGGGACAGGGTGAATAACTAGGACTTAAGAGACTGAATCTGGTGCCTGTAGTTTAGTGTAGCAAAAGGTTATGTGATTTACCTCATTTATTTTATAGATTTTTTTTTTTAACTTTTATTCCATTAGTTGAGGAATGGAGTAAAAGTGTGAAGTCAGTATCTGTAGATGGGAGATAGTTTTCATTTGTTCCACTACAGAAGTGGTTTTGTTGTGTGGCATTTATAATTATTTCCACTAGGAGGCAAACGCAGACCATCATATGTGTTCCTTTGCACTTCAAAAGTAAATAATATAGTTTATTTTCTACCAAACATAAACATTTGACTTTTGGATGAGCAGGACAAGCATTTTCTCAAGGAACTTAAAAAAGTTATTTTTTTATCATATTCTTTTTTTAATTTCATCACAATATTTTAAATTCAAATTTAGCAGTAGAACTCCTGAGTTGCGAGGCCTAAAATATAGTTTCTTTTATGCTGTTTCTCCCATAGTTATTTTAAAGGGTATTAAAATTGCAAAACCTTCTGGATTTTGTTTGTGAAAACATTCTTGGATATTTTTTGTTTCAGTATGAATATAAGAAATCATTTAAGCATAACAAGGGCTTCTATCATTTCACCCTGGATACAGCTGAACAAATCCATCACAAAGAAAGTGCAGTGCTTCAAAGTCACGTATACGCAATCATAAATACATCTTGCAAAGAGAAAAATGCAGCATTCTAACAGTGATTAAATGAGGCACAAAACTGCACGACCAATTACAGTGATGTACAGTGCGTATTCCATCAGAAGCACCCCATGAGGAGGGAGGGGAGGTTTTTGCACAACCCAAACCTATTGCAGAAGCCTGACAGTGAAAGAGATTTTTAACACTTTTCTCAAATTCAGACATCGCTATTTTTGAAGAGACAAATAAATCAAAATGACATTACTCATTCTGAATATCATCTTTTGATATGTAGCTATTTGCTTTTCTTTATGGCTTGTGTCAAACATTCCAACATACCCTACACCGACTGATTGAGATGAGTAATGTGTTTGCCCATTTTAATCAGAATTGTGTGTATGAATGAGTTTAGAAGGCTTCTCCAGGTTTCCAAACAAAGTATATTTGCTTTGTGAGTTAGCATAAAGTTATATGTTGGTGTCTTAACCCTGTGTCCTTCAATGTGATTTTACTGCTAGCTTTAAGGTCATGGTCATTGGTAGCTGTGAGGGGAATGTTGGTGCAAGGCCTGACCCTGCCGAGGCAGTAGTTTTCCTTCCCTTTTCCCTCCCACAGGTGCAAACAAAAGTGCATTTCAGAATGGTGCTCCTGAGCCTGAAAGAGAGACCTGCGTGCCTGGCTGTGAAACAGATTTTGTTGTTGTTACAGTAAATGTGTTGTTTAGTGGAAGCATGACAGGGGATCCTATTGAAAAGCTGCCAACTGTTCAGACATAGGCCATTCAGCCAAAATCATGCCATTAGTTTAAGGATTGTGGTTGATGCTCCTCACTCCTGCTGTCTTCAAAGTTCACCATTTTTAAGTCTGACATTTTGAAGCAAAGGAATAAATGACTTTAGAAAAAATTCCTTGTCTAGCTGCCCTATTTCTCCAACAGGTTAAATGTGGGAGGAGTCTTCCAAGTCAACACATCTAAGGAGTATGGCTAAGACAGGATTTGTCTGTTGCCGTGGCAAGCAATCAGATCTCACATTCTCTCAGCTGTTAACAGCCTTTATTTTAATTTTCCTAGGTCAAGTACAAAGAGAATTATGAAAAATCTAAAGGCAGATCAATGCTGGAGTTTGTGGATACACCAATGTATCAAGTTTCAAAGGAGGCTCAAAAGATGCAAAGTGAGGTTAGTAAAAATGTGTGCTTGAATTAGTAAAATTTAGTTCAACAGAGAAGCTAACAGACATCTTGTACTTGGGCTAAGAAATTGGATGAAGCAGATCATAAAGGTTTTATAAATTAAGTATATGGTAGAATTAGTACTGAGTAGTTCTCTGCTATTCTGTAGCTCAGTTCTTCCTTCAAATTTGTTTTTTCTCAGAAGGCTGTTGGTGCTCACGCTAGACAGAGATTGTATGTAGCATCATTTAAGTGAGAAGAAGCTCAAGAGATCATCTAGATCAGAGATTACTAACTTTTTTACTTTTGCCTTTAATTCCATCTTTAATGAGGGAGGGTTGTCAGGTGGGAGCGAGTGAAGCTGCAAAGCCCAGTCTGACCCTGTGCCTTAACTGGAATGTACTCCTGTCCGTTCAGCCTGGGGAGCTCAGCATGGGGGGAAGGAGTGTTCCCAGGCTCCAGAACAGCACTGGCTGCCCTATGCCAGACCATGTTTTTCTAACTTTTTTATTAAAAACTTCCAATGGTGGAGGTTTTGTGACCTCCCAGGCAATCTAGTCCAGTGCTTCACCATCCTTCCTGAGAGTGAGTATTTCCCTGTGTCTCCCTTGCTGCAGTTTGATTCCATTATTTTTGCTGTGTGTCATGGAAAACAGATGATTTCATCCTCTTGGTAGAAACTTTTATGTGTTTAAAACCATTACCTTGTGTGCCATTTGTCTTCTCCTTTCTCTACCAAGCAAACTGTTTCTTTCATAGATCAGGTTAAACATTTTCTTTGGAAATATCAAACATACGTATTTTTGTCTAAATTATGTGTGTCTTGTATAGATAATCTAGGTAATGAAATGAGTAGTAAAGTTGCTTATTAATGTGATAACTAATTAATTTATGGCATCGCTCATTTCTGGGTCTGTTTACAGTGTTCTTTCTGAAATATGCTTGGAAATGCACATGTGTGTACCACTAATTGTTGTTTTTGCTTCAACAGAAAATGTATCGCAAAGATTTTGAAGAAGGGATCAAGGGAAGACCATCAATGGATTTAGACAAGACCCCGGAATTCTTGCATATCAAACAAGTCACTAACCTTCTGAAAGAGGTAGAGGACTTTTATTTCTTTTTTTTTTTTCTTAAGTTGTAAATGAACAATAAGCAGCATCAATACAAGCTCTTGAGTGCTGAACAACTTACAGTTAACTTGGTAGCTAAATACAAAAGTGACTTCATGAGTAAAAATTGCCACGTGTCATTTTATATTCTGAATAGTCCTGTAGTAAGAAGCGATACTTTTTGAAGTTTCCTTATGAACATAAGGAAATGATAAAGCTCAGCACACCTGAACCAGAAAAACAGAGTTAAATGAACAAATCAGATGACTCTATAGAAAATGGATCATTGGCTGGACATTCCCTCTAAGGGCCTCAGTTTTGGAATTTGTTCCTCCCCTGGGCTCAAATAGCCCAAATTTGGTGACTTGCCAGGCATGCTGCAAAAGACATCTGTTTGATAAGGGTTTGGAGAGGGCCTGGAGTTTTCTTTCCAGATACATGAAGGGGTGGAAAGGAGGATTTCTCTTGGTGTCCAGATGGCAGTTTTTCCTTTTGAGTAATTATTTCAGGTTTGTGATAGTCTGTTGTGGTTATAAGGATGGCTTGAGCTGGCGTAGTCACTTTTAACTAATTTAATTGAAATAATTATCTATCATACATGTTATGGATGAAAATAAAGCAGACCAAAATTGCATAATATAGCTGTGATATTACATAATCTGCTTTAAGCAAATTTTGTTAGAAGGTGCGGGTTTTCTGTATGCCCACTATTTCTTTAAAATTTCTCCAATATTCTTCAGTTGTATGTGGCATTATAAACTAAATCACTTTTTTTTCATAACTGAGAATCCTTCTATCTTTAGTCTTTTTATATTGTTATTCAAAACTGTTTTCATGTTAAGTTTTGAGTATTGGTTGGTTCTACAGATTAGGCTTACTGTTTGACCAAATTTAGAAGTAAATGTTTCTAGCAACATTCATGGTTAGAAATATCAGGGCTGCTAGATATCCTCCATTTGAATTTGGGAGCCAACAGTGCCTTGTTTATATTTATTGTATTAAGAATTGATGTTTTCACTGTGGTCTAGATGAATGAATTGGGGATGCTAGAATTAAAAATCTGTGAGCCTTGTTCCTTTCCTTGTTCTTTAAACAACTTATCCCAGTCTATGCTAGATTTCATATGGGTAAAGAAAAGATTTTCTTTCAGATGTTTCTTCATTATTCATCCTCTAATAAATAATTTATTCTGATAAGCTTGGTTGTCAGGTAGACAAGTGTCAAGCTAGGTCTAGTTTGTGCAGTACCATGCTGTGTGTACATGTCTCATGTGCCTACTGACTAGGGAAAAATGCAAACGCTTGCATTTCATTGAGTTAATCTTGCTGCATGCTGAATGTCCACAGAAGTGGTTAGTGCATGCGGAGTTGCAGATGTGCTGGGGATGTTCATCTTTAAAAATTTTGATGTAACTTCCCTCCATAGTGCTACACGCATTAAGATGTTCCCTAATTCTTACCTCCTCAAGTTTTATGACTCATTACTTAGGGAGTAAACCATGCTTGTAAGCCAGAGGGGAAGAATATAAGAAAATAGAAATGGTATTTTAATGCATAACTGCATGAATTTCATACTATTTTAGATCCACATTCAAGGAACAGATTCCAAAAGCAAAGATTACGTGGGTCAAATTAATTATTATCTTTTAAGATTAGGCAAAATGAAGTATTTCTTCATAGTCAGGGATGTAGCTCAGTATTTTTGCATGAAGGTTCATAATAAACTTTTGATAGATACTGTATGAAACAAGGAGAACCTGGAGTTATTAAAAAATGAATTATTTATTCAATTACTTTTTTTTTTTTTAAGTGCTAGCTGTGTTCCAGCTTATTCTGTTGCTGAATAAGCAATTGTAGACAATTCTGCAAATGTTTCACATTTTATAACAATAAGAACTTTCTTCTCTGGAACTACATTCACAACTCCTTCAGAAGAGATAGCTGAATTTAACAATTCTAAAATAATAGAAGTTGTTTCTTGCTTGCTGTAGGATATGCTTCTGATAAAGAGAAGCTTCTTTAAAAATACCTGGTTTTCTTTTGTTTAAATAAAGAGCTTATCCAGAGACAAAGGTGCTCACTGTGCTTATGACATTTAATACATGATTAGGAGTATTAATTCATGTCTATATAAATCCTTCTGAAAAATATTTTCTTCAATGTTGTTCTAGTTTCTTTGCTTAAAAAAGCCCAAACCAAACCTGGAGATGGGAAGAACAATTAAAGTCCTTACAAAACTTAAAGATCTTGAACTTCAGTAGGCTTACATCAGCTCTCTAGGAATTGGGAAGAGGAAAAAGAACCAGATGTCCACAGGCAGGTTCTAGTGTGCTTTTAATTTTATACTGAACATTTGAGTACTCTGGAGGCTGCAGTTGCTAAATGTTGATAGATCAAATCAGTGCTGTTTCTGAGGGGCACAGAAGTGATATGGTAGGAATATTGCTTCTACATTATAATTCATCAAGCAGTCGTTTTAACAGGTCCTAGTATAGTGTTCAGGGCATCCATCCTGATTGTGATGCCATTAGTGGAACAACGGTAAAAACTGCAGCACAGCATATATTGGTCTGTAAAAGCAAATGCTACTGCAGTGAAAATGTAGAGAGGCAGCTGAGGCTCCTAAACAATGTGCTAGCGCTGTATAGGAGAGGACTATTTTTCAAGAGCACAATGGGAAAATACTTGACTACATTCAAACCTTTTCACTTTTCAACATTGTATCTTTTGATTTCATAATTTTCAATTCTATTTTAACTCTGAAACCTGTACTTCTGCTGATTCATATTTCATAGAAATTTCAGAGAGACCCTTCAGATATTTAATAAGTGGCATTTCTTTTCAAGATCTTGCACACAATATTAAGTGAGAAATCTCTCTTTTTTTTTTTTTAATCCTTAGAAAGAGTATAGAAAAGATTTGGAAGAAGGGATGAAAGGAAAAGGAATGACAGTGTTTGAAGATACACCAGATTTGATTAGAGTGAAAAACGCAGCTCAGATACTAAATGAGGTATGTTATGCTAGTCGAGGTTATCGATGTCATAGAAAGTTCACTCTTTATGTGGTACTCGAATGAAAATATTCAATTCTTTTTTTTACATAATCTACAATGAAATAAATAAGTATTGAAGCTAAGGCTGTTTTTGTTTTGCTTTGAGAATATAGAAAAGCTCTGGAAAAAAACCAACTTATGACAAATCTTTCAGATTTTCAGGCAATTAAAAGGTCAATGGAAATTGTTAGTGGGGTCAGTAGACACAGCATGTAAAACTGGGTTCATTTTTCTATCTATTTATTTGTTCAGCTAGTATAATTAATACTGTAATGGAAAGAAAGTTGACTGTTAATGGACTTGTAAAGAAAAGTCAATGAAATGATTTTGTGTTTTTTGGAATCACTTACCTGTTGTCTGAAAATAAATATTGGTAATGACTGCCAGACATCTTGGGAAGATCTTTTATCCAAACAAACTATTCTACTTGTGAAAACCTTCTTCCAAAAGTAGAGTTGCTCCTGAAGAAACGGATTTTCTTAAGCTTGCGGTTCATCCAATGCAAACAGACAGGTGGAGGCTCCTTCCAGAGTATATTTTTAGAACTGAACTTTGATATTAACTATGTTGGTCTAAGTTGCTCTGGAAGCACCTAAGTGTGCGATCTGCTGCATTGTGAAGGGCTGGGAGTGGAAGACTCCTTGATCTGTGTACTGTCTCTTGAAGACCACCCTGGGGAGCTCAGGTGCTTGGCAAGCCTGTGTGCTCAGCAGAGCTGCAAGCTCCAAAGCTGGCATGGCTGCAGCTCCTGTAGATGAACTTGCACAGGCTGTCTGGGAAGTGGCAGTGGGGCTGGAGAGGGTGGGGAGGGAAGGGGAAGCTCGTGCTGCACGTCATGCCTTTGGGGAGTCATTCTTCCAGAGTAATACATATATTTACTTTAGATATTTATTTATTTTAGATTCATTTAATATGTGTGTGTGTACATTTATGTTTATTTGCATGCATATACATACATAGCCATAAGAACCAGAGGGAGTGCCATACATAGGGCCAAATCCGGCCACTGTAAAGAGGTGCAGGAATATATAGCTGTAACTCCCAGGATTATCTTTTCCTTGGTGTTTTACACAATATGAAGCTGGGAGGAAACATCTGCCATTCCACCTTTAGCAGAGAGGAAGTGAGGGATAATGTCTTCTCTCAGGTTAACTTATAATATTTGTAAAAAACTGTGGTTTGCAAAGTAGAGAGGCGTTTTACCACGTTTATTTCCACATCAGAGTGAGACAGAGATGGAAGACTGAAAGTCTTTTTGCTCTTGTCCTTGTAAGTGTATTGCATTGAGTAGAAGGATATTTTCCTTCTCTTTTCTAACTAATGTACAGCCTAAAAATAATTAACAAACCAGAAAAGTAAGAAGAAATTTTTTAATTATATGTATTTATTTTGACCGCCCCACCTGTTTTCCGCAGGCAGAGAAAAACTAGAATAAAAAAGTGATTACTACTGTAGCAGCAAAAATAGCAGTGCCTGAGAATCTTTTAATTTATTAAAAAAAAAAAAAGTACAACTATTGTATACAATATTTCAGTATTACATTTTAATATCATTTGCTGATGAACAAGAAATATATCCTTGCTTGGATAAGCTGAAGATGAAATATTCATTTTGTTTCCTGGTTATTGGTTATTTATAATTTATGTTGTGAGGAAAAAGCAGCAATCATGGATGAGTACTGCCACTTGCCTAATGGCTGTGGTTCAGGAAAGACCTATTAAATGAATAAATTACAACTTCCTGCTCTGAAAGTTCAGTGGAAACAATTCTGTGTGGTATTGAATTTCTAACATGTAGTCTTTTCATAAATAAAATATTTTCTTACAAGTAAAATGTGTTTCGATTATGCTGCCACCAAGTACCAGCTTATTATACTATGGTCTGCAGAGCTAAACTTCTCCTTTACCTTAGAGGATAATTGTAGCAAGCTGTATGGACTGATTCTCCCCACCCTCTGCCAAATTAAAAATTCAGTGGTAGAGTTCTGTACATTCAGTGAATATCTCCTCAAGTTTTTCTCCTGTAGTTTGTTATGTATTTTCCTGACAAAAGCTTACCAAGAGTCTTGAGAGTTGTGACTCTGAATTTGAGATTTTTGATTGACTCTAAATCTCGAAATTGGATCTCTTGTGCAAAAATCTACCTGTAACTCTCTGGCTATTGTGAATATAATGTATAAAGTTTTATCTTCACAGAAACAATACAAGAAAGACCTGGAAACTGAAATTAAAGGGAAGGGCATGCAAGTTGGTCCAGACACTCCTGAGATAAGAAGAGCCAAGAAAGCTTCTGAAATTGCAAGCATGGTCAGTACTGTAGCTGGTGCAAGCTTTCCGTCTGACAGAATGCAACAAATTAATTGACAGTTCCAGGAGGTGACCAATCCAGGCAGAAGCAATGCCACAAATTTCACCAAATACCTAATCCGTTGAGCTGCATAGTCTAAAAGTTGCATAATCAGCATTCGGGGGAAAGTTAAGATTTCCCAGAACTTTGACTTTTCCATCATCTTTTGCAGGTTGCACTTGTTCCTCATGAACCACGCCTGGCCTGGGCTGTGTTCCGTAGCTGCGGGCCTACTGCTTTTAGGTCTGAATAGCTCTGCTTGTTTAGTTAGGGCCAAATGATAAACAGAGTTAGAGAGATGCTAAAGGGTTATGACCCCAGTCTTGCAAGGCGCAGCTGAGGGAGAAAGTCTCACCTACATGTGTCTGTGATTGTGGCTGCCAAAGCTGCAAAGACAGGTAGATGTGAAAGGCTACATCAGGTTTGAAGTAAGCAGTCTATTAAAAGAATTTTTTAACTGGTCAGCAGCTACAGCATAGGTGTCTTGTAGGTAGGTCCTACACAGGTAATGCTGTTGAATCAAAAGTTATTTGGTGTTTTAAGAATGCAGTTCAGTGGAATCACACAGATTAAAGGAGGAACAATGTAAGAATTTGGCTGTCAGACATGTATTTCCATTGCTATTCTTTTCAGAAAGAATACAAGAAAGACTTGGAGAAGGAAATTAAAGGAAAAGGAATGGGAGTGGGCACGGATACTCCTGATATACAACGAGCCAAAAAAGCTTCTGAAATTGTAAGCCAGGTGAGTACATAATGAGTCTCTTAAGATTACTTTGGAAGTAAAACACAATGAGATGTTAAAAACATAAAATGTTCTCAGACATACTTGGGCTAAAAGGAATAAGCAGTGCACAATAAAAACATTAAATTAAAGAAATTGAAGAATTTATTTTAAAACCTCACCAGTGCTATAAGAATAACTTTGAAGACAGCATGTACAAATAACTGTAGAATTAGTTATGGTTTTTTTTTTTTCCTTCTTTTTTCTTCAGAAAGAATATAAAAAGGATCTGGAGACTGAAATTATAGGAAAAGGGATGCAAGTTGGCCCATATATTCCTGAAATACAGCGGGTCAAAAGGGCTTCAGAAATAGCAAGCCAGGTAGGCACAGTTCAAAGGCTGAATGTTTTAATTATGTGTAACAATGAGTGCTTGACATACATTGCTCAAAATACTATTTCTGTAGCTCTGTAGAGGCTTTCACACCTGTATTAAATTAATTTACATGTAGTAAAAAGTCTTACTGCCTGATTCTTATTTGTATTCGGGTGTGCCATGCCATGTAAATTGAAATGAATTGCTTACATCCACTTGTAGGTCTTTTTACATTACCGAATGAGAAGGTTATATATATCCTGACAGTGAAGGGAAATAGTACAAAGTATATGAGAATATATTACATATATATATATATATATAAAAAATATATTTTCTATGTGGGACACAGTGTCAGATGTCCCACACAGACAATGATAACAATAGCATGGAGGAGAGAGGTTGAAATAAATACTGTACAAGGATGTTGAGGCTTATCCGCAATAAGCATCTTCTGTTGCATTTGGATATTCTGAGCTCAAGAAAGCAGGAAATAGACATTTTAAAATTATTTTTTCAGAAAATGTACAAAGATGAAGCAGAGAAGATGCTCTGTAACTATTCTGCTGTCCCAGACACTCCAGAGATGGAGAGGATAAAAAGTACTCAGAAAAACATCAGTTCAGTGAGTAATAGTGCTTCTCTCTTTGCTTGCAACTTCTCATATATTTTTCACTTTAAATAGGCTCTCTTGTGCTGTGGCATGAAATAGGGAACTTATGAGTAAATGTCCTTTAAACCATTTGCATAATTTTCCTGGCAAAAGCTGTATCACTCATTTCTTTCAGTAAAAAAAATACCCAGCTTTTCTAGGTGTGACACTTATTTTGAATTGCTAAACCACTTATACCACCTTGCCAAGCCACAGTTATTTTTAAATGAAGTTGTTTTTTCTTTTTCCATCAAGCCCCAGGAAGTACTTTATTTAAAAGGACAAAAAAATCTAAGGCTTGTTACTGTGCATATAAGATTTTTCATCTGTTTCCTATCATATGTACAGAACATCAAGATTCAAGTATAAAATTAGAACAGATCATGTTTCATAAACATATATGTCTAATGATTTTAGGTTATAACTGTATACTGGATATATTTTTTAATTTTATGCTTGATTTAAGTTTCAGTTTATCCCTAAATGTAAGTTATGAGCTTAGATTTCTAAAATTGCCCAGTTTGGGATGCATTCAGTTCCATTTCCTTTTTGGGCCCATTAATTCTGCTGTTTGTAATTCTGGCTTTGCTTGTAATAGAGAAGAGGAGGAGTAAATATAGCCTCCGGAACCAAAGGCTGTCCAGTTAGTGTCTGTTTTTTATGGCAGACTAAGTAATACTAATAAAGGCAGTGATTTGAGAGAAAGGAATATAAGTTACTGAAATATTTTAGTATTATCTGACACAGATGTTGTTCTTTAACTTAGAGATATTCTCAGCTTCTCCAGCTCTGCAGAAGTACAAGGTCAATTAGTTTCTCTCAGAGGTGTTTACCTCCAGCTATCCCGTATCACTGCAGATTCACTAGGGGAGTAAGAGCCTGTGGGGAGAGAAGAAAAGTCTCTGAGGCTGCTCTAGGCAGTGGTCTCTCCTGTAACTGCCAGCCTTTACCTGCTCCTTTTCTTCCTTCAGATGAGAGCAGTTGAAAGTTACATCCTTCTAATAGGAGCTGTTGACATGCTCACTGGCCCCAGTTTTTGTTTCTTATAGTCTGTGGCCTCTTAGTTTTGAATGGCGCTCTGCTGCACGGTGGGACAGTGATTAGCACTGTATCTTATGTCACTGGCATCCTAACGTGCTACACCGAAACTCCATGTAACAGAGGGGATCCAAGCTAGCCTCTACTAATGTGCTTTCCTCCCTGCTCCAGTCTTTGATAGCTTTTGATGAAGTCCTCAGATAGGTCAGTGGGTCCGGCAGTGCAGACTCACTAACAGTTAGATACCAGGAATATAATAACCTTCCACTTCTTAATTAAGCCTTGACAAGCCTCTGACACATCTGAACCCCTTGCAGCCCTGTAGGCCAGTCTGAACTTTCAGTGCCAAGGCTGACAAATATTCTCTTTGCTAGTGTACTGGATAATATGAAATTAAGGTATTTTGTCGTTGAGGTGATTTGTATTTGCTTTATTTTGTGATCCTTTTTCTGTTTCTGAACTGGATCCTCCAACTGTAGGAAAGCAGTTTATAGCTGTGATTGAATGAGCATTTTTTTTCTTTCTCTGTTTTAATCGTTCAGCATTCTGTGCAATTTAGATTATAAAGGTAAGTTACTTTTTACTAAGTTGAGATATAGCTGGGAGCAGCCCCAATATAAAACAATTAATGACCCCTAATAGGCTTTTGATTTTTGGATTTTGTCTCAAGTATTTTCCTGCCTTAAGGGACAAAAGAAGTGACTAGCTCTGCAGATAAGATCAGTGCTGCTTCTAGCTCACTAGCTCATTTGGCAGATGATTTACAATAGGATATTTATTGCACAGTCATCTCTTTCATAGAAAAATTCCCAGCTCCAACATTTTTTACCACTCCCTCCTTAGTGGAGGAGAAAAGTATATTTTAGTTCAGTCCACTATGTAAATCTTTCTACCTTGTACTGACATGCTGGTGCAGAAGAATTTTCAAGTTCTTACTCTTAAACTGTCTCTGTTCTTACGTGGTAAAACAAAGTTCTAAATTGTTAAAGGTTTTCTGAATATATAAAAAATGAGTTGTGGACGTAAATAATTCATTCTCCTCTAGAATATTTGGCAGTAGTAGTCACCCTAGGTTACAGAGGGCTTCAAGGAAGTAGGAGAAATGCATCAAGAATGATGTTTTATTGTTTAAGGTTTATTGATAGGAAAAAAAAAGTTAAATAAATCTTGGTTTAAGAAAGGCAGAAATACTAAATGGTAAAGATTTATTTTACGAACTCCAGGATCAGACTTTTTTTTACACTACTAGCCTGGAAATACTTACTGGAATGGCAACAGCTGTGACACCAAATACTGAAATTCAAATAAAACTTCTTAAAGAGTTTTGCATCGTGAACTGGTGCTCCATGGTTATTTAAATTATAGCCACATTTGGAATTTGTGGAACAGTTATTTACTGTCTCTTTCAGTAACTTTGAATGATTGATTCTACTGATGCGCTTTGTGTTTTATCCTTTACTGAAACAATTGAAATAGAGAGGAGAATTATATAAACAGCATGTGTATCTTTTAAGAACTGAGCTTTGTTTTTAGATGCAGCCCTCAGCTTTCTGGCTTGAACCCAGAAGTAAAAAATCATGTGACTTGAATTGTAGCTCTGACTGTTCTGGTTATTTTATGATGAATATGTCAATTTTCTAGTTCGTTAAATTAGAAATAATAATATCTAATCATTTCTCAGAGTATTTTAAGATCTGAAGAGTAAAAAAACCTATTCAAATCTTGCATGTACATGCACGTTCAATTACATTGAAATAAATGAGATTACTCAAGCACAAAGTTGCGTTTGTAAACATTTATAGATTATGATCTGAATTTTAATATTATTTCCAAAGTTAAAACTATCATTACAAATACTTACAAATGTTTGAGGTCAGTCTAAAGGATGATAATAGATTATCTGAGTTACAGTTGAAAACAAACAGAATGTTATTATAGTTACTGATAATTGGTCTGATTTATGAAAAATTCAAGTATTTGCTTTCTTAGCAAGATTTATAGTCAGACCAATTTGGAACTTGGAAAATTGCCCAACCCTTTTATGAGAACTTGTACTTGCATTGCTAACAGTCTCATAATTACTTTTTCTTTTGGGGAAATGAAGGTGTTTTATAAGAAGGAAGTAGGAGCTGGCACAGCTGTAAAAGAGACTCCAGAGATTGAAAGAGTAAAGAAAAATCAACAGAATATTAGTTCAGTAAGTGTTATTAACATTAATTATTCTTATGTGAGTAAATGGTGGTTAAATTTTTTTTCCATGTTGTTTACTAAAAATTCTATGTTGTGATATCACACATCTCATTCAAATACGACCTCACTGGATTTTGGATATAGAGCTCCATTCTAGTAGAGTTAGAGCTCCACTCTACTGTAGTTCTTCTGTGTCCAAAGGTAGAGCTTAAAATTGAAGCATCATGAAAAATAGGAGAAACTTTTAACTAAATATTTGAGGAAAAAGTTTTGTCTTTCAAGAATGAGAAACATGAAGTGTATTTCCTAGTATGAGAAACTGAACAGCAGTCGTAATTTGCAATTTAGAAAGATATCATATCACAAAAAAGAAAAACTGTAAAGTTCCTGTAAAGTCTGCATATATTACATAAGGGTTGGTACAGTTTGCACTTCAAGAAGAGGAAAACTATGTCCAGACTTGAGCTGTGTGAAAAGGTGGAGGGTTTGTGCCTCTTTATGTGCTGATGACAAGTTGATCTGTGGATCTGATGAGAGACTGGTTCTGACCTGATGTTGTTTATCTATGGATGCCTAATGTCTTTGGCACTTTAGTGGGCAACTAAAAATAAAATATCAAAATGAGAGTTTATTACAAGTAGAACATCCTTTTCTGATAAATACATGGTAAAACTTGGAAAAAAGTGGAAAAGTGACTGCCAAGCAAGAAAACACTTGTAGCTGCATTGTTCACTTGTTTGGAATTTTTGGTGTGGAGTCCTCTGGGGCCATTTTTATGTTTGTCACATGATTTTTCTCATGATTAGAAACTTTTTTTAAAAATAAAATTGAAAGTAATGCATAGACATGACACTAGATTGTGTTTAAATATTAGTTGAAATCCAAATTAGGGACTCTGGACACCTATTCCACTAGAATTTCCTTGTTTACCGGGTAGTGTTAAATACTGCATTTCCTAATTTGAAGATTCAGTGCAAGCTATCATGTGTTCTAAATCCTGAAATAGTGTTTCTGGTTGGAAAGCTGTAGGTCTTCTTGATTTAAGGGTGGGGTTTTTTCATTGTTGTGTTTGTTTTTTCCCCCCCCATCCTGTGCAATTATGTTGGTTTTTTTTTTTTTTTTAGCCAGATTTGTACTGGTGTTCTAGAAACAAAAACTTAATCTCTGTTACCTACTTGATTTCCAGTTGCCACAGACATTTATTTTGAGAGTAGTCACACACACACACGCGCGTGTGCACACACACACAGAGGCTTATTAGGAGTAGTCTAATGCTTTTTCTCAATACCTTTCAAAATGAAATGGAAAAATAGCGTACAGTGCTCTTGCTATTTTAGAAATCCTAAACAGTGGTGAAGAGGGGAAAATGAAAGGTGGATCAGTATGCTAGTAAACACACTTGAACAAAAGTGTATAAAGAGAAACACAAAATGCATTAGTGGTTTAGCGGTGTGATGTAAGTAGCATGGCCTTTACCTTGCTAGTCTGTGTGTAGAGTTAATATTTTACAAAAGGTATTTTATTACATGCAGTGTATTTGAGATTACTTAAGTCTTGTATAATATTTATTAAAAGTGTAGAATGCCAAATTTAAAGGCAATGTGCGAGAAAGTTTTAAATTATATGTCAGTAAAACGGAAATTATATTGTGCAGTAAGAGTGAAATTATATTGTGTAATTTACAGGAGTCCCAGAGGGAGGGGTAAATTACACCAATTTTGACTCCATTAGATTTAAACATTTTACACATATCTTTGAATTTAGCCAGAAGGACTTAGGACAGCTTTAAAATTGTTTGCTGAGCTAAATGATACTATGGAATGTGAAGCGCATCTGCAGTGTAAAAAAACCCAGAACACCAAACCAAAATAACACTCACTGTACAACCAAACCATGCAAAAAAGTCCATTGCATCATGTTCTGAAAGTGATCAGATTCTTCCAGATGACTTATATTGGAGGCAAAGATCAGAACGGTCTGTTTTCAAATCCTAAAAACAAGGTGGTGACAGCCAAGGGGGGTGAGCTCATCTCACCTGTTGTGGTGATTAGTTTTGAAGCAGCAGCCTCTTAAATAGTTGGAGTCAAGATCTCACAGAACTTTAAAAGCAAACATCAGACCCATGGACTGTAACTGAATCTGAACCAAGAAGCTACAAATAACTAAGAATTTTTTAAAAACTTGTTTATATTGAAGGACAGGCAGGGCTGGACACAGCACCCGGAAGAAGTCTTTTGGGGGAAGATTGTAGTTGTGTTTTTATTTGTGTGAAATCCATGAGGAAACCCCTGTAATATGTCAGTCAACACCACAGAGCTGGGGTCTGATTAAAACTCAAGCAATGGACATTTTGAAGCATTTTAAGGATTGGTAGCACTGCCAATTCTTAAGCTTACCTAATAGTCTCTGTTAAAAGACCCCCTTTTCCAGTGGCTTAGTACTTCTGCCAGTCCTAAACTGTCTGAACTGAAATTTTCCATTCCTGCTCTGTGTTTTGGGCTGGTTTGGTTTTATTTATTTATTTATAAATTTCAGCCAAGGCAGCTTCCAAGTATGAGCTTAGAGAAAAACAAGTTGTTTTGTCTGTGTAAAAAAATTTGGCACTCTCCAGAAGTACCATGTCTTGGAGAAGAGAGTTGAAAATTATCTACTAAGTGACATTTGGTACAGTGGATTTGGAAAAAAAAGGCCAGGAGTGAGGAACTGAAAATGTGGAAGGACTTGGTCAAAGCAGACGGGCCCAATGTGGGGAAAGACGGGCAGAGTGATGTGCTCCTGTGCATAGGTGCTTCCTTCCAGAAGAGCTGAAACAGAACCCAAGGTTGTTTAGACTCATCACTCGCTCACTGTCAATGTGTGTCTGAGGTACCCTTGGTCAAATATTTTCCCTTTCTTTAATGATGGTGTCCACGGAGGTAGCAAGCTACGGTTGTTCTCATGGGTTTGTGCAGTCAATCTAAACAAACCACAAGGGGCTTAAGATGAAGGCACACGAAGGAATGTACATTTCTAGTTTTTTAAATCATGAGAAATTGCCTCCTCAAGAGGTGCCTTTAGGGAGTATTAGTAAGGTCACTAAGTCAATACTCAAAAGCAAGAACCTGACTTCAAGTCCCTGTGTCTAGACCTGATGATCCATTGCCAAAGTGTATGATTTTATACTTTGCCACAGAGGCGGATCTGCTCTGGTTTTCCATTTTGCAAACTACAGTTCAATGGGAATTCTCATTGGATGCAGGTGCTGTATAATCCTATGGTTTTTAAAATTATGTAGCCAGATTAGCTGTTACTTGTCTGTGCTCTCTAGTAAAAATAGTACTCTTCCTTGTCACACTTCCCTTTTTCCTCATTTCACTGCAAAATTAGTGAATTAGTGTGTGTGAAAAACTCAGATGCTTTAGTGAGGAGCAACATAGAAAAGTTCCTGAAGAAATCAGTAATTCTGCAATCAAAGCAGGACCTTAGAGCAGTTAAAGAAAAAAAACCCACATCAGTCATGGTCTGCATGCAAACTACTCTCTAAGTAAGGGTCACTGATTATGTGTAATGAATGAGGCAGAATTCTCTTGAGAAAAACAGTTTTTGGTAATAGATAAAGAAGATTATAAAGCACTTAAACAGGAAGAGAGTGAAGTAGTATAAAATATATTAAAAGCTGTATATGGAGCATATTTGTACAAGGGGCAAAACTAAGGTTACATTTAAGTTAATTGTGTAATTTTCTGATTTTTGTGTCCTTGATTTTGCAGCCTTAAAATGTATTTAACAGAAGTTTTGTATGCCACATTAATATAAAACTGTATAAATTGATTCATTATGCTGTTCCCTTGTTCTTAAAGTACTTTTCCTTCCTTGAGTCTTGCTAATGAAAAATGTTTCCACCTATTATGTACCCCCCGCCCCCCAATTTTGAATGGTTTCGTGAATTTTGGTGTTTTATTACCATTGTAAAGAAAAAGAAAGCATGCCATATCACTGCACTGTGTCGTGGTTTAACCCCAGCCAGTACCTAAGCACCATGCAGCCGCTCACTCACTCCTCCCCCACACAGTGGGATGGGGGAGAGAATCAGGAAAAAAAAAGGTAAAACTCCTGGGTTGAGATAAGAACAGTTTAGTAGAACAGAAAGGAAGAAACTAATAATGATAACAACAATAATAAAATGACAATAATAATAATAAAAGGATTGGAATATACAAAACAAGTGATGCACAATGCAATTGCTCACCACCTGCTGACCTATGCCCAGTTAATTCCTGAGCCCCCCCCCCAAGGCCAGCTCCCCCTAGTTTATATACCGGGCATGATGTCACATGGTATGGAATACCCCTTTGGCCAGTTTGGGTCAGCTGCCCTGGCTGTGTCCCCTCCCAACTTCTTGTGCCCCTCCAGCCTTCTTGCTGGCTGGGCATGAGAAGCTGGAAAATCCTTGACTTAGTCAAAATGCTACTTGGCAACAACTGAAAACATCAGTGTGTTATCAACTTTCTTCTCATATTGAACCCCAAAACATAACACTATACCAGCTACGAGAAAGAAAATTAATGCTATCCCAGCTGAAACTAGGACACACTGTAAAGGATGGCGTGGTCTACAAGTATTTTTAATTTATGGTGGCATAAGAGATTTGAAGCTGAATGTGCTGAATACTGGACAGGTATTTAGTAACAGACAGTAAGACACAGATAATGCACAGATTTGTCCAAGATGAGCCTTTTGGATAGCATATGGAAAACCAGAAAATATGATGCCTTTCTTTTTAGTACCACATCCACCTAACCTTACAATTCTTTCTCAATAAGTTGAATTCCAGTTTTGGTACATATGCTGTATAATTGAAGAAATTCTGGTTTTGTGCATCTTTCAAATTATGGAGTCTACCATATCCAAACATACTGCTGTTTAGAAGAGATTAAATGTGGCAAAAGCAACAGTAAATATCTGACAGCATCTTCAAAGGCATCATACATCCAAACATCTGCATTGTCCCTGATGGGCCTGTGTGTGTTTTTAGAGAACTTGAATGAGACTTTGAAGTCATCCACCCTTTTAAGAAGGGTGAAGTGTTTGGTTTCTGAAATGGACTGATAGACTCCGTAGCAAGATAATAGCAAGACCAAGTCATTGCCAGAGTGATGCAGATCTCCAAGTAGTATATGCAGCATCCCAATTATCATGAAGATAGCCACAATCCCATGTGATGTATATTCCCACTGTAAGAGTTTTAGGATACTAGGCTTGCTACATGCACTCTCTGCTGCATTGTATCAAACAAGATGCATTGGAAACCCTAGCAGCCTGTTTCAGAAATTAAATATAACTGTTCCTTTTCAGGTCAATAGTGTTGGTAGGTGTGGTCTAGCTGTGCAGTATGTGTAAGGGAGAGATTACAAAATGTTTGTTGTGTTGTAGTGCATGTCTGTATCTACTTTAAATTGCTAATATTTTGTAATATTTATTGTGCAGATTAAATACAAGGAAGAAATTCAGCATGCAACAACTATTTCTGATCCACCTGAACTAAGGAGAGTTAAGGAAAACCAGAAGAATATTAGCAATGTGTGCCCCATTTTCATTGCTTGCACACTTCTCTCTGCTGTATTAAATACGTTTGTGCCTCAGTGAATACGCCTGTGTTGTTTGTGCTAGTTCTTGTTTGTCCACAAAGACTAATTTAATCAATTAATGGTAAAATAATAACTCCTTAGCCTTGCACTTTGATTAACATCAATGAGAGTGAAGTATTCCTGTTGAAATACCAATTGTCTGTGTCTGAAATAGAACTGCAAGAGGGTGAGTACTAAGTATCGTGTGGAAAGATGTGGGTGTTTATTAAGGAATGGTGTTTTCCATCCAAATGCAGTGTGCTCTTCAATGATGTCTAACACACTGTTGTATTTCTGTTACTTGGAAGCCTCGGTGTAATATCTTCTGCCCTGTCTGCTAGGTTCAGTACAAAGAACAGCTCTGCAAAGCTACGCCTGTGAGTGTCACCCCTGAGATTGAAAGAGTCAAGAGGAATCAAGAGAATGTCAGCATGGAAAGTTGCTCTCGTTTAATACTTTGTATGATTTTTGGGTGCAGAGGATGAGTACAAAGTTCTGCCTCCAGAAGCTGTGCCTTTTCGTTAGTTAGGTGTGGACTTAGTAATGGAATTACATGAAAACCTTTTAGGAAGCAATTGTGAAAAGCCATTGCTTGGTTTGGGAAACGGCATGTGAAGCATCACATATTCGATTAAAGAAATGGCTGCAATGTTTTGAAATTTTACTCTCTGTCTTGGATATTTGCAGGAAATCTTGACAGATTTTTTTTTTTAACAGACTACCCTTTTCCAGCTTTTTTTTTCTTTGCTTTGTAAAAAATTGGCTACAGTTCTACTCAAACTCCAGCTCTCTTACCTGTCTCTTTCTGGTTCCTCAGTAACCTTCCTATCAGAGTTTAGTATTTAATGGCTGACATAACCATTAGAAAGTCATACTTTTTGCAGGAGCACAGGGGAGAAGGTAAGGGTTTTTGGAACACACTGCTGCCTTCCTGCTTTGCTGAAGTTGTACCTTGTTAGTGAGTCTTTGGGAGACTAGCCATTCTCCTCACTGGCAACTGCTATCAGCAGCTGTATTTCCTGGGGCTACAAATAGTGTTTCCCTGGGGTGTTTTCTGCCATGTTCCTCAAATTATTTTAGAGTTACAATTTTCAAGAATACTGTCCCTCTAACTTAAGTGTATGCTATTTATTCCTGCATTTATGTTGCTATATTTAGCTCTCCTAAAATGCACGCTGTTCAAAGAAACCTGTTTTCCCAAGTGATTCAAACCTGTCTGGGTAGTTGTTCTACTCACATCATTGTTTACCTCTCACCAATTTTTGTGTTGTGCAAATTTCATTGGAAAGATTGAATTCTCTTTCGGGTCACTGGAATAGCTTTGGGTGAAGATTCTTCAACTTCAGACATTTCTAGAAACATTAAGTCTTGAATAATCATTTTATCCTTACAAATGTTAGTTTGCAAGTTTAATCCATTTGATAGCTTACTGTCATTTTTATAAAATCTTAATTTTTCAGTTGGAATATGTTGATGTGGACAGACCAAAACTGTGTTGTGTGGGAAGACAATACCTTGAACAATATGTATGTTAATGCCACAATGCACTGTAAAATTAGAAGCATGATGTGTCAGTACAGTTATCCTTGTCACAAAACCAAGAGCTTACTGAAAAAAAAAAAGTTTGTGTGGAAACGTTTATTTTACATAAAACTATATGGATTGGCATAAATCATGCAAGAATCTCTAATTATTTACTAAATGTGTACCATATCTGACTTCCCAGTATTTGGGGACAGGGTTAACATTAGACTGATTGGTCTGTCAATGCCACATCCTATCCTTTATCCTCTTTAGATACTGATCCTTTAGTGTGCATTTGGTATATTCATCATTGCTACAAGTGTATTTTGTTAAAAAGTAATAGAGGGGATATTTCCACAGTACATTTAAATAAACACATGGTGAAATTTAGGCAGTTGGATTCAGTTGGAAGTTGTCTGATATATTGCACCCCCTGTGTTTAATCACCTTTGAATATATAGAATATAAAAGTTAGAACACGGATGGTATCCTTATGGAATCTCTATGTCTGGACAAATATACATTTACAGTGGGCATTGCTGAAATTCAGTTTTTTCATTTTCTCTGCTTGACTTTACTGCATTATTTGTGGCTTACCCCATTCCAAATATAAGATATCCCTCTATACTGCCAAAGACCTGTGTGGTGAATGTCAAGATGTTGTGTGCCTATGTGTGTATATATCCACACAAATGCATTAATAAGACAACTATACAGAAAAAATTCAAAGTTATGCTTCAAAGATCAAGTTTTATAACCTTTAATAAACTTAAAATGCATTTTAGCTTTTCAGTTGTTTCCTGGATGACCTTTTAAATCATACATTTTAATGTAATACAATGTGATATTGCTTTAGCTGAAATAGTATGTACCGTTTTATTCTGTTAAATAATAGGTTCACTACAGAGAGCAGCCTGGCAAAGCTACTGCTATGAGTGTCACTCCTGAGATAGAGAGAGTCAAGAAGAATCAAGACAATATCAGCTCGGCAAGTTGTTTGAATCTTTTTGTCATTTAGATTTTCAGTCATTGTAGGAATATAACAAGGATATGCTTTTCCATTTAGATTTGATGTGTCAAATCCAACTGCATCATATACTAAACGGATTTTTTTTATCCTTTGAGTACATGCACTGCACATATGGGCAACAAAAAATACTCAAACCTGCCTGATTATGCTTGCAAAAAAAGTAGGTGGTTGTGTTGGCACCAGTATTTTTCAAGGAGAGAATCAGTAGAGGTCAGTCATTCTTTCAAGAATCTTTGTCTCTTGTTACCAAGTTTTAGTTGCTAGATTGCAGGAGTAAATTACAGTAAAGAACAAAGGAAATGAGAATTTAACTTTAGTGCAAATTTCATTTTTTTATGATTTAAAGCATGGAAGCATATAGTCATCCATTTCACTCTGTGACATACCAGCTATGTTAGAGCTGAGTAGTCCTAAATAGATCCTATTACTAAACACTAAGGAGTAAAATACTATATTTTTCTTGGCTTTTGTGGAAATACTTACTTTTTTTTTTTTAAATCACCATGATAGTGGTGTAAGAAGCAGCAGGCAGTTCTAATAAGAAGCAAAGAAAAAGTCAAACCAGCATGGCGAAGTAAAGGACCAGACTAGTCACACTGCAGTCTGTGTCCTCGACAGTGAAACAGTATCAGTGACAAAGCCCCTGCAGATGGCAAATAGAACAGGTTTCATGCAGAGCCACTGTCTCAAGGTGGCAGAAGAGAATGAATAGTAGTGAACGCTCTAGAACTGAGTGTAGGGGGGGAAAGTAAAGTAGGTTGGATTTGTCAGAGGATTAGTCTAAGGACAAAGGAACAGAATCTGACCTTGTAACTACATATGTCTTAAGTACGTTCTTAAAATGCTCATGCATATCTACCAAAGTCAATTAGTTTTGAGGTGCATAGTTAAAAATAAGAGAAAAACTTCCCAAGAGTTCTAGACTTTAAATATTTTTTTTATTTCTGAAAATCAAGCTTTTTTTTCCCAAGTGACTGCTTCACTTTGTTTCTCAAGATTTACAGGGATAAATATTCCTCTATGGTAATGAGCAGTAGATGAAAACCAAACTATGTTGGTTGTAATTATTCTGTCCAGAAAATGCCTTATATTCAAAAGCATATGTAGCTGAATGTATTTGCTAAGAAAATTTATTGTTTAATTAAGAAGGGTTTGAAGAATATGCAGTACCATATATTTCTGTTTCTCTGTATATTACTTCAAACTTACTTATGAAACATAGACACCAGTACTCATATTTTCATAGCTATGTTGTGCTTAGCTAATATGTAATTTTAAGGAGAGTTAGACAATTTCAATTGGTTTCCCACATCACAAATGCATGTTGAAATAGATTTGCACAACTGATTTGAGAGGTAGTACTTTGAGTATGAATGTATAAGTAAATCTAAAATATTTACTAACACTCAGTATGCAGGTTACAATGCAGTGTAGGAGCTAAGAGAGTCCATTAGTAGAAGAATTCAACCAGCCAGCAGAAACTGTAAGAGTATTCACTCTAGAACCAACAAGTAGGACCAACTACTTTTACTGGTTTAGAATTCTGAGTGTGGGGAGGTTTTTACCTTTTTTTTTTTTTTTTTAACACATAATTAACCTTGCATCTTTACAAGCCTGTAAAATGCCACAAAAGAAGCTAATTAGGAGGCGTGTGACATAGGAGGTTCTGTACTTACTGATGCACAAAACACAGAGCCCAAATGTTCTCTTTGAAAGCAGTGTGTTCAGATTTGTCCCAGAAGTTGCTTTTGTGCTGCTAGCAAAGACTAGCTACCAAAGAGGAGTAAGAAGGCTGCCACAGGACTAATCTGCTTGTAAGAGTTGAATTCCCTGTGGACCCATGGGTTCTCATGCTAATCCCAACCTGGAAGCAGACAGGACAGAATCTAGGTCTGTCTGGGTAATAAGGGAGCTTATCATCAGCCATACAAATATGTTTTAAAGATGTCCAAGTCGCAGTGGTGTTTTCTTATTATTTATCTTATTTTTCAGTTGATAAATGAATTATTTCACTTATGTCATTTAAACAGTCAAGAGTTTCAGCTTTCAGGTAAATACTATTTTTTTGAGTAAGTGATTGATGGAATAAATGTGCCCTTTGGCCTTACCAATATACCAGCTCATCTGTATCCTCCTTCTGGAAAAAGTCACTAGAAAATGAGTGTAAAGAAAGAAACAAGGGAAGTGTTGGGCATTGTGATTTGGAAAAGATACCATTGCATGGTGTGATTCTCACCACCCTTTCTACTGTAAACAAAAATTTCATGTGTGCTGTTGGTGTTTTGCAGGTCAAGTACAGCAGTGATCAGAGGCAGATGAAAGGTAGACGTAGTGTGCTTCTAGACACACCTGAGCTAAGGCATGTCAAAGAAGCACAAAACAACATCTCAATGGTAGGGTACTTTCTTCCTATAAGTAGAGTATACTAAGGAATGGCACTTGACTTCCACTGGATTTGCCTTCCATTAATATAGGTAACTGATGAAACTCTCTGCTCAAGTGTGGAAGGAATATTTTCTTCTTATGCCTGTTGAGGGAGTGTTTGCTAACTGCATATGACTGTAATGAACATTTTCAAAATACTAATAAACAGTTTTCTAACAGTTAAATGTCTGTTCTTTTGTTTGGTTTTTTTTCTTTAAAAAAGTACACACCTCATTTGAGCATCACACAGTTTGACTGGATTAGGTGACACACTTCACCTTGTGCCTGTGCACGTTCCTGGTTTCTGCGTGACTTTTGTTCTTGGAATGAGTTGTTTTGTGTGCATTTGCTTGTGTGAGAATGTTTGTCAATTTAATTCTTTGATTATTAAGACTATTTAAAAAGTAAATATGCATAATCAGGGATACTACTTTATAACTCTTACTAATACTGGTTTTGTTCCAACACTTGATTATATAACACTTTCTTCCCTAATGTCCTTGTTTTTACTTTCTTTTTTTTTTTTTGGAAAGTAGGCTGCTTAAAATAAGTAGAATTCTTTCTGAAAACTTAAGTTTAAAGCCAGCTGGCATATGATAAAACAAAAGAGCAAAAGAGTACCTTTTGTATGAAACTGTGTACATAATCAAAATTCTCAGTGAATGAAAATACTTGAGTTCTTTGGAACTATTACTGCTGGAACATAATTTACTGACAGATGTAGTTGTCTACATCAGTAGAGAGCTATCCTATCTTAGAGAAGAAGGGAATGGACCAGATAACCTCCTGAGGGCTTTTCTTGTCCAGTGTGACTATAAGATGATGCTTTGTTGCTTCAGTTAATGCCTAATTCAGTGGCAATGGAAAACAAATGCAAAAATGATAAAAAAATATCAGGAGATCAAGTTAGGGAGGTAGAAAAGACTTGCCAGCCATCCAGTCTATCTCATGTGTGTAAGAATTCTATTATGATGCAAAACCCAAATAATATAAGTGGCTCATAAAACACACACGCTTATGCATTCTTGCATAGAATAACTATTTGCTGTCAGTTGCAGCTTGGGGAAAAATGTAATTCTTCTTGTTTTCCTAGGTAAAATACCATGAAGATTTTGAGAAGACAAAGGGCAGGGGCTTCACCCCTGTGGTAGATGATCCTGTAACAGAGCGGGTGCGGAAAAACACCCAAATTGTGAGTGATGCAGCATATAAAGGTGTGCATCCACATATTGTTGAAATGGATAGAAGACCTGGAATAATTGTTGGTAAGTTGTTAAATGCTGTTGCTATGAAGACACTCTGGGGATGATGAAAGCCTCTGCTTGTGTTCTCCATTATAACCATGAAAAAGTACTTCCAGATTTCATTTTCACTCTTTTCTCAGTATGAAACTTGGGTTGAACTGCTGGTTCAATGCCAGCTTCTGGTGAAGTAATAATGGGAATGAATGGGAGATACATTGTTATTTGCTCTGTAATTTGTTTTTCAAATATGGGTAGTCATTGCTATTATTTCAAGTTTGAATTTTGATTCTTCAAGAAAGGCCAAAATATCTGCAATAATCTTCATTTTGCACAGAAGAGAGATGATTAAAGCTGTGATTCTCCAAGATTTCAATGTTTAAATGTTGCAGACCAGTTTGATGTTTCCCCTTCTGTCAGTCAGCAATTTCTCCAGAGCTGCACATGCTCCATTTACTTCTTGTTTTAGAATTTCACACAGCTTTCAAAATATCTCAAGCTATAATTCATCAATAACTCACTATATCTCTGGTAAGCCAAATACCAGTGTTCAAAAAGTGATGTTCTAAAAGATGGTCCAAGATAAGACCAGGTACTCGGGGGGTAGAATACAGGTTGGTTTTGTATGTAGAGACAGAGTATTGCATTAAGATGTCATTTGGGGTATTAAAAATAAACACTATTTCAAAATCAAAACGGATAGTTGAAATCTCTTAAAAGTTAGCAAGTCTTCTATGGCAGAGGAAATGGTGACCTGACATTTTTATTTTTTTCTCTTTTCCTTTTCTTTTGGCGTGTCCTTTTTCTGTTTTTCTGTGCTTTACAACAGTGTAGACCGCAGATGGTCTACATAAGGAAAAATATGCTGTGAGATAGCACTCTAAAATCCTTCATACATAGTAATAATAGCAAGGGTTGATTTTAAGTCTACGTCTCAAAAATCAGAGAAATTGCAGGTCAAATGGACTACTTGGTGGGTCATATAGTCCATCTTCCTGCCTAAAGCAAGGTTAACTATATCTATATCATGCCTGGCAATGCTTCGTCAGTATTTTCCTTAAAGTCTCCAAATGAGTCTCCACCACATAAAGAAGTGTATTTCTTTCCTTTTGTATGTTTGTAGCTACAGCCTTATGTCACAAGGGGTTTCTCAAAAGTGAGTATTTAGAGAGCTCTGCCTGGGGAAGATGCTTTTAAGCACCTGATGCTTTTAAGACCATGCAAGTCTCAGAGGGTCACACATTCTGGATCTAGGGCAACAACTTGTTCAGAAAATCATTGTCTGTAGAGACCCAAGCACTTGAACTCACTTGCATAGCTAGAAGCGGTGCAGCCAAAGAGAGAGAGAAAAGCTCCTGCAAAATCGCAGTTTAATATGCAGTTTGCAATATGCTGTTTAGTGCGCATTTCAGACCTCGTACTCTGTACTGCATTGCACACGTGCTGTAGCCCTGTGTAAGAGTTGTGTACAATCCTGTGTTCAATAACTGAAGGCTTGCTAGCACAAACAGATTAGGATTAAGAACATCCCTGAGAGAAATTCTTGAGCTGTAGTAACTGAAATATTAGTACTGTTTATCACCTTAAAATACTCCAGTATCAAAACACACAGGAATTCTTAACTCCCTGTGCTCACAAAACAGAAAAGTAGTACAATTATTTAAAGGAAAGAGGCCATGACAAAGCTGTGAGCCTAATATCCAGTGACATTTCAGCTAATGCTTTTTCAGAGTGAACTGCAATTATAATATCTGCTTGTTTAAAAAGAAGCAGTGAGCTCCCTGCTCATGGAATGTCCTTGGCAGCTAGAAAAAAAAAAATCACAGGCTGAAAAAAACAACTATGACTCCCTTGAGTTTTTTCCTAGCTGGTAATTGTTCAGCCAGTTAGGAAAAGTACCTCTGTGTTAGAGTCCATCTGGTTGGTTTTTTATTGGTGAAGCTGTAACAACTTTTTCAAATGCCTGGTTGCTAAAATTAATGCCTCTGCTTTGGAAAATAGGCACTAGTTTTAACCATGCTAAACCATTCTAAACTCATTGAGATGAATTAATCTAACTGAGCTTTGGATCTGTGACTAAAGAGGCTCCATGATTCTCATGTGAGTATAAGGATATTTTAAATTGGCAAAAGTTACCAAGAAGTTAAAATTGATTGGCGCTAGAAATTGCCAAGATTCTAACTATGTTATTTCAGATTACAGAGATAGATAAAATCAATACAAATCAATGGCTGCTGCACTGATGCTGCCACAAAGCCGTACTTATTATGTTTTTACTTATTAAGGCATGATCAAACAGAAGTTGGGTATTCACCAGTTCCTCCACCCCTTTCATGCCTGTCAGTGCTTTATGTAGTTGCATAATTTATCACCGTTAGGACTAACACATAGTTTATCAAACGATTTTGCATTGGCTTTTATTCATCATGTCAAGAAGGAGTTAGCACTATGCCTCACCTTATGGGAGTTGCAGTAGATAACACATAATGTACATACAATTGAATGTATTCTAAAGCCATGGGATTTATTTTATTAGGTCTGTCTGTTCTTTCCATTGCCTCTAGGCTATTAATAATTTGAAACATGACATATTTGGGATCCCCACAGTCCTACTTTACCTACCAACCCATTATTTAGCTTGATACCAGTGAAACCAGCAAAAGGACCAAGTTGGGAAGACAATTATTTTTCCCACTTCCAATGCATTGAGTAAATCTAGCAGACAGGTCTGCCCAAGAAGCAAACCACAAGTAAAAAGGTGTGATCTGGTAGATTTGTGCTTTAACTGCTTGTACTTTACATGAAGGTTTTATTTTAAACTGGTTTGAAGAGATTAAATTATTTTTATATTTTTAGACATAGCAGATATGAATTGTATATATTAGATTGATGTGAGTAGATCAAGAATTTACACTGTAGCTGCTTCTGCTTTTGTTATAAGCCTCCTCTTAACTTGTACAACACTGTAATTACTTGTTAAAGGTTTATTAAAAACATGGTTGAATCTGTATTCACTTTTCTGCTTTCTGCTTTCTGATTATAACTTAAACTCAGATATGAAACTAATTATTTCATATTGACTCTTTTTTTCTTTCAATATCCAGTTCAGGCAAGTGTATTCAAGAGATATTAATAGCTTACTTGTATGAATTAAAGCTGGAGATTTTATGATTACTACTGTTATTGAATCCATACATTGAATTCCAAAAATGCTTTTCAGTAGTGGATCAACAGTAAGTCTGTGTCCCAGGAAACTTAGATATTTGGAAGACAAAGGGAATTACTAGTTAAGAGTGGGCTTCATTGTACCCAACTGTAGATGTCTACAATGTAGTTTTCTACAGCTGAATTTGTCACCCTAGGCCTTTTTTTGTATTAATTAAGAAAGATGGATGCTTCATACGAATTGAGCAACTTGTAGAAGTTTATTTTGGGTAGGATGAACTATGCCCCTGATTTTGCTTATTAGGCTGACTTGATCTCTGCTGTATGCAAAGGAGGGCCTGTAGTGCCTCTGTCAGCTGTAGAGATGTATACTGCCAGCTGTCAGCTATAGGGATATATACTGCAGTATCTCTGTGGAATAAGGATGCTGTTGGTGGACTGGGGACATAATCTTGTAGCTCTGATCATTTTGGATCTTCTAGTGGAAAAGAGCTCTGGTATGTGATATTTAACTTGTTTCCATTTATTTAGACTTAAGAAAATACTAGGGTCATATTTAGAAGAGGAAAACAAAAATTGGGAGAAAAAGTCTCCTTAAAATAATGTCAATGCTTAAAATGAATGCACTAAGTTCCTTTAAGCAGGAAATTAATGCTTTACGGTCCTTTCAGGTGAATATATAGATCTTTTGGTTAATTTCTAGATGAAGGAAATTGTTTGCTGATTGTTAAAACTCATTCCTTTCATGCTTTTACTTCCTTTGTTGTTTGTCTGTCTTATAATTTCTGTGCTTTGGGAAAAGATCTTAAAGTTTGGCGCACAGATCCTGGCTCCATCTTCGACATTGATCCTCTGGAGGACAATATTCAGTCTAGGAGTCTGCATATGCTTTCTGGTATTGCTTATATCCTGACTTTTCCCCAATTCAGCTTTTTATGTTTATGAAACTAAGTTGATACAGTAAATTTTCAGGACAATGTGCCAGCCATATGTTTTATAAGTATGTTTTCATATATATATATATAACTGTTAAAAGCAGCGTTTTATAGGAATTTCAGCTGTAATCACATGTGCAGATAAGAAATAGTGAAATAAATCTTATCCTAAACAACAGTTTTTCATACAACTTACAAGCAGTCACTTAAAAAGCATTGACCTATTTTGTCTTCACTATAAGTAGAATTTTCAAATAGTTGGACCTTACTAAAATTTCAGAGATGTAGAAGGTGGCCTATTTATGAAATTGATTTATTTTCTATGCACATTTTGCTTATATGGCACATGATAGTATGCCTTGTGCTATTGTTTGCAACTCCAAGGTGTTCATAATTTAAGGGTAGATGGAAAAGGAGAGAAGGTAATGCAATAATAGGCAGCAATGTTTTGGCTCTACAAGTTTTTCGATTTTTTTTTCCCCCTAGAAGTGTTTGTTTTGAACATTTAATTCCACACATGAATTTCTTTGCTACTGATAGTGGAACTTCAAATATTCCTTCAAATGTCATACTGCAATATTTCCAGACGCACTTGTATGATCAACTTGTATGCATGCTGAGATAAAGGAACATTTTGATTTTCCACTGGAAATTTTCATATGCTTCATCTTCATCCCTTTTTCTTCCATATCTCAATCCTACCTTCCATTTCTGCTATTCTTTTAAAGCAGAGAACATGCTTAGTTGTATCTGATTTTGAAGCAACCTTTTGAACTAATGGTGTTGAAAATGGATACAAAATTGTGAACAATTCACTTTAATTTTAATGCCATCAGTGTATGAATATTAATGTCAGCAGTGTTGGGGTTTTTGTGGTTGCTCATCTTTGCACTTCTGTCATCTATTTACTGTGATATTCTTTCTTTCTACCTTTGTAGAAAGAGCAAGCCGTTACAGTAAGCAGTATTTACATTCTACCAGTTTGGGAGATTATAAATCAGATGGCTCTGACACGAACCCTACCTTTTCTTACTGCAGTGAGATAACAAGGCCATCTGATGAAGGAGGTACCCCTTATTCCCACCTTTTTCACTAATGACACTACGACAGTGTGTTGAGACCTCACAGGCCTGTATTAACTCCATATGCTTGTATAGTCACAAATCATTAGAAACTATGTAAGCTATTGCCTGATTGATTAAGGAAGCAAAGCAAAATCTCAAGACTGCACAGTTTCTTGCATGCTGTATTGCTTTATCGTGTATTCTCCTTCACCATTTTGGTAACACTGTCAGTCCGAAAGCCCTGCTAACTCCCATTTACAATGTTTAACAGGTGTGTTGTGTTTTTTGCAAAATGTACATGAATCTGTTTTTTTTTTTTTCTCTTGAAAGACACAATGTAACTGAAAGAAATACATCTCTGAAGTGAAAAAAAAAAAAAATTACCTTGTGCTTTTGGTGAGCAAATCAAGCATATAATAGTATTTTAGTGACTGAAGTACTTCTTTCCGTATTAAACTATGCAGGTGCTTGTGACTCTCTGTTTCCATCCTAAGAAAAAGTGTACCAACTTGTAACTTTCTCACATATGAAAGTTTTCTTATACTCTCAGCAGTTTGGGAACCAGAGTTAATATTCAGCTGGGAAGCTTATATAGTCTGATATTGTTTAACATGGATTAATATTAGAATACTTTGACGAACCTGCATTCCTAGGTACAAAACCACATCTTGCATCTGTTTGATGCCACAGATTAGAACAAAATTTATGAAAATGATGAATAAAGGTCTAGACATCCTAGTGGCATTACAGTGTATGCTAGATTGACTGATGAATTGTAAATATTCAGAAACATTGCATTCTAAATATGTATTTTTAAAAAATAGTGATTTCTGCTTCTCAGTTGTGAAAGAAGGTGCATTGAAAAAGTTATCAAAAGGGTTACTAATTTTTTTTTTTTAAGAAGGTGTTAAGAGTAAAGCTGTTGCTACCATTTAGTTGCCTGGCATCCTTGAATTACTCATGCTTTTAGAAGTTTTTAAGGCATCTTAATTGTACAGTGTGCCTGTTTATGTTCTCCCACTTGCCAGAGTAATATGTTATTATAGTGGCTAATGTTTAGGGAGTGTACGTTGTGTTAGGTGCCATGTAAATACATACAAGCAGCTCTGACTAAGAACAGGTGAGGAAGAAAGTGTTCAGACTGAAGAACTAACTCTGAACAAAGAAAGAAACACCCATCTTTGACAGAACTGTAATCCCTTATATCATGTCTGTTCATCTTTATTTGATATTTTAACTATATGCCCAACTCTTTTAATATATGATAGCAATAATGCACATCATGCTGGGTTTTATGTCTCTTCCTGTGATGATGTGAAGTGGGCTGCAAAGCCCAGTGCATATTGTCTCTCTATATCTGTTCTGATCTTTTTTGGCTCTGTTCCAAGCCATTTTAACATTGCTTTGTCAGCTTGATTTGATTGTTAACAGATATTTTTTATTACTTGCCATATTGAGAATAGGAAATGGGCTTTATTTTCCCAGTTGTTTTGGCACTAGCAAGCTTGCTTTTTGTGTCTCTATTTAAATCTATTGTTGTGGTGATGTGTTGAATAGGTCCTTGCCAAGATCAACATATTTTAGCAAGATATTGTTTCCGCTTTTGACCCAGCTGGCTAGCCAGGGTTTGAGCACTTGCAGACAGTTCCCATTGCAAGGGAGAAATAAATTCCAGAGCTAAGTAATTTGACATAATCCTAATGATTTACAAGAAAATGCCATTTCTGTGAACACACTCAGAAGAAAACAGCAGAAGATAGCATCCTTGGTCAAAAATACCAACCTTTTTCACGGCAGCATCCCATCCAAAACGTTGTTTAGCACATAGCCACAAGATGAGTTTGCCTTTGACCTTTATACAGTATGTCTTATGGCATACCACAGTAAATGAGAACCAAATGCATTTTGCTGAGATTTCATGGCAGTTTCTCATGGGGTTTGTACTTTTAGATCTAGCAGTGTTTTTTACTGGCAATAGTTCAATCTAATGGCACGCCAACATGAGACAGTTGCAGACCTGTGACCAATTTTACAACCTCTAAGTGTCTTTGGCCTTGTCTCATGATCTTTCAGATATTTCTATGTTGTTCAATTGCAAATTTATTCTAGATACCTTTGCTGATATTTGACCCACAATTCAAGTCTTCTGCTGCCACTGCTGATGGAATTGTTCCTTAACCACCCCTCCCAGCCCTTATCTGGGTCCCTGGCTTCATACCAGATGTTAAAGGCTTATTTGGATCTAAATAACTCTCTCTCTTGTCTTTGGGGAATTTCAGTAACAACATCACAGGGAGGCTACTAATGTTCACTAGAATTACTTCTTCCTATTTGATTCCCTGACCGTTATTTTAGATGATGATGTTGAGCTGAGCCAAGTGTGCCTCCCAGGGAACTTTCCCTGCAAAAATCAGTATATTTTTGCATGATGTGAGTTCAGGAAAATCCCTGTTCTCCCTTTTAGACTACTACAGGTAAAACTGGATAGGAAACAACTGTTAATGCTTTCCAGCAAGCCTGATGCAAGTGATGAACTTACATTTTGATTCTCTTTTTGAAATTACTTTTCAGCTTTGTCTGTCCTTTTTGCAGCTTCTCCCTGTTAGTGTTTTTCAAGGCTGACTTTATTACTTCATGGTATCACTGAATTTTTTTGCCATACTGGACAGAAGGTATTGCACTAAGAGCTTCTCAGTCTACCTAAATGCTTTGTAATTAATTACTACCAATACAAAGATTTCCTTTTTACCTGCAAGCCATTCTGTAGCACTTCACAGAAACAGTTGGATGCCACATTAGTTCTTGCAAAATTCTCAGCTGTTTTTCAAATAGTTATTTTCAGCTTGGCTAAAGAGGAACAGAAGCTAATGATTTCTCTCTTTCAATCCTGCTTTTAACACTGATGTTGCAACTTCTCAGACATGGAGCTATTCATTCATTTTTGGGAAGCTTTTTCAGATTATTTTCGTCAGAAAGAGAAGTTGAGATATATGTATGTCAGATTTATTTTTGTTTATAAAGACAGACCAGACAGTTCCTTCTTCACAGAACACTGTAGGGAAAAAAACAACAGAAAAGAAAAAAGAGACAGTTTCTTTGCTTTCAATTCAGGTCTTTCTAGAGCGCATTGTGTCTGACAAATTTCTCAGCTGGTTTTTTTTTTTAGTTTCTTTATAAAATGTTTTCTCTCTGTCCTGATTTTCTGTGCAGTCGTACACACTGTTTTTCTCCTAGTTCTTTTCACACTCACTGTCTTGCTCCTCTTCCTCCCCTACAAGTAAGGTCCCCTCCTGTTAGTTTGCATTCCGGCACCAGGAGAGGGTGATCTGGTTCATATGGCTCAACACCTGTTCCAATATTGCATTACTTTGGATAGTTGTATTTGTATTTCAACCATCTACTCCACAAAGGAGATGAATTGCTTTTACACATAACTCCCATTTATGTATAATTATGGAGTTTTCGGTGACTGATGACAGAAGGGAATACAGGTATTGCCTATTTGGACTTTTTGTATTCACGGTCTCTACAGTGTTTCTCAGAAGTTGTGCTAAACCATGTATTTTTATAAAGATATCTTCTCCTATTTCAAGGTCTCCATGTAAAATTGATCTACCGTCTTTTGCTAATAACTTAGTTCAGAAAGTGAAAATGGCATTTAGTTCATACCCTCATTGCTCAAGACCATTTTGTGTAGTTCTGTTCCCCCAAAGGCAAGGGTAAAAATGCTTGAAAGTAGCACCAGTTCACAGTATTGGAGACTTTTTTTTTTTAAAGGCTTGTTGTTTTAGAACACTTTCTCTATATATTCTTCACAGTAGTTCCATCTCCGGAGACTGAGGCGGGGAAAGGACTTCTTAACACTAGAGTGTTAATATGTGGTACGATGTAAGATATGGAAATGAATTTGTGGTGTATGATCCAATGCCAGTCACAGAAACCAAGCTCAGTTGCTCAAAGCTATGTGTGTACAGGTATAGACAGTGGCAAGATAAAGTGAAGGCTGCAAGTAAACCTTTAAGGTTAATTAATACTTCTCTTCAGGCCCATTGTTTGTAGTAAGCAAAGGAACAAAATACTGCCAGCAGAGGAAATTCTGGTTTAGGATTAAAATGTCAAAGAATTTAAGTCTTTGAGAGTGCAGAAGCTTGCCCTTAAGGAAGTTGACCTAGTATCTACAGGGGTCACTCAGCTACTACTGGAACAAATTTCAGGCTTTGCCATGATGGCAGGGAAGTGACTGTACACATTTGTCTACTACTAGAACAGAGCATCCTGATGACTGGCCAGATGATAGCAGATGAGCCATGGCACTGCTACTAGGGCTACCGTTTTTGTCACTTCTGTTTTGCATTGGTCTTTGACTCATTTTGAGGTGAAGAATTCCTCATAGTGTGTTTGGAATGAGAAGATCTGTCTGCAGTAAAGAGTATCACTATTATTCTCATTCCACTGTTATTTATTCATTCTCTCTCTTTGTCTTCTATTATGCAACAATTTGTGTACACATTTTGTTTTCATTATACTTCAAGTGAAAGTGTTTTCCGTAGGGTTCCTCCTTTTGTTTTAGTTCTCAAAGTCCTTTTATGCTGCTTTCCTTCAACCCTGTTTCAACTGCAGAATGTTTTCATTTCACTTTCTAATATTCTTCCTTCTCTCAGTTTTTACTTTAATTATCTTTCAATTTATTGTCTCTCTGTTTAGCTCTCTCCTGTTTTTCTTTGATTTAAATCAGCAGGATTTTATTTAATGTTACCAAGTTTTGCTTTCAGTCTGAAGGTTTCTACTTTAAAATGATCTTAATGAATGTCCTGCCATAGATGAATTTAACTTTTTTTGTCCCTGGTACACCCTTTTTTCTTTTTAGTTGAAACCTTTTACATTGGTTTTCTCCCCTTTTGCTTTTGACCTTCTTTTTTTGTCTTCTGTTTCCTCTTACCTTCTAGTTTAATTGGTGTGCATCAGCATATAGACATGATATATACATTTTTCCTTAACATATG